CTCACAAGGATTACATATGTGAACTATGAAAGCCCTAGCCATAACCCTTTAAAAGTTGTTGCCAAGGTTAAAGTTTTTGAAAGTAGGTCCAACTCAAAGTTCGAAGGGTCAAAGTTCTTGATATTAAATGAAAGGTCTTATCACAAGGATTAAATATAAGAAGTATGAAAGACCTAGGTCTTACCGTTCAAAAGTTATGGACAAGGTTTTAAGTTTTTTCAGATGTACGGAAATCTCTAAGGCCAATGTCAAAAGGTCAAAGTTGTTGATATCAAATAAAATTTCTTGCCATGAAAATATATGTGATGTAAAAAAAAATCCTAGTATCTACTGTTCAAAACTTATGGCCAAGGCAAAAGTTTGGAATTTTTTGTGTAAAGGTAGGTCAAAATCCAAGGTCAAGGTCAAAAGCTCAAATTTGCTGGTACCCAAAGAAAGGTTTTGTCAATAGGAATACACTTGTGCGAATTGAAAGTCATAGTTCCACTAAATCAAAAGTTACGGGCAAGGTTAAAGTTTTTGCGGACAGACAGACAGACGGGCGGTCGGTTAGGACAAAAACTATACATCCCCGAATCTTTGACTATGGGGGAATGAAAAATCGAAATGATAAAATTTTGGATTGGAAATTTCATAGAAATTCTGAAATTTAGAGACCATGGGCTCTTTATAAAAAAAAAAAACAAACTACGACTAAGAAAACAAGATGCCTGTGAAACACTAATGTACCTGTATGGCAGTTTATAGCGAAGGTTCCAGTTTCTCAAAATGACAATGCATGTCAATTTCCAAGGTTAAGAGATCAAAATGTTACTTTGAACGGACTTAAATTAATGAATATACGTGTGAAATATGATATCCCAAAAATCAGCCATTCCAAAGATATGACCAGACTTAAAGTTTGTGAAAAATTGCTCAAATTCCAAGGTCAATGTCAAAGGATAAAAATTAATGATACCCAGGACACGTGAAATATAATTTAGCCTATAGCACAAACTGTTCAAACGTTATGACCAAAACTAATTCAAATTCTTTTTAAAACGGGTAGGTCACAGGCCAAGCTTATAAACGATCAACATTTTGGCATACATCTACCTATAAAGGACTTAGGTCTTTTCACAAAGAATACATCTGTGAAAGATGAAAACCCTATAATACCAGCTGTTCAGAAGTTAAGGTCAAGGTTATTTTTAAAGTGGGTCAAACTTTAGGGTAAAGGACAAAAGGTCAAAAACATGTAAACGCAAGGAAAAGTTTTGTCATGTTAATTTTAATTCCCGTACTAACAGCGAAAGAAAGACATTTTATTGATTAGATTTATATCTTTGTATTTAAATAATCATATTAAGTGAAATTAATACTAGTGCATGTACAGTAAATGATTACAGTGTATACATTTCATATTATTTTTATGAGTGTCATTGTATACTTTGAAAACACTTTTTTTTTGGGGGGGGGGATTAATTTTTGTTGTACTCGAGGTATGGAGAGACCTAAGAATTCATAAACACCACGAAATGTTAAATTTCATATGCATCACTACTAAACATTTTCTAACCACGAAATCAAATCCCCACAAATCAATATTTTTCCTCAAACCTCGATAATTGTATTCCACGAAAATATGTGATTTAAGAGTACCTTATAGATGGAAGAGTGGCTGCTCCACGAATCCTTGGCTTAATTACTTAATGGTTTTTACTCATTTTTATAAACGACCGCACGTGATTTTCATAAGATATTTATTAGATGTAAGTATGTATTATATATGTATACAGTATACGTAATTAATTTTAATTAAGTCTTGCAAATGATTAGAGTTTTGTTGAACTTTTAGTTCTGAAAATCTATCTCTCTTTTAGTTCTGAAAATCTCTCTCTTCTCTCTCTCTTTCTCTCTCTCATAAAACATTTTACAGTTATTATCCATATAATCTATAAGGAAGATTTTGAAGCATATTCTGAATGTATGTAATCAACCAGGAAAAAGATTACGTCCTCAACATTAAACAGTTTAAGTATCATTTGAAAGTGTCATGACACACGTGTACAGGCAAGGTTCAAAAGGCATTCTCCGCTTGCTAAAGAGGAAGTGTTTATACCCATAAAATAACAAACTTATAATATTTATGAACAGAGAATGTGCTGGAACTAATCAGAATATAAATGTACAAACTTCAAACTGTTGGCAAAAATTAATTGAGCCATCGAGTGGCTGCATTTGTAAATTAATGTTATAAACGTAAACTCAAGCTTGTACAATAATTAAGCATACACTGCATAAATTTATAGAGTTTCAAAACTTCTTGGTTATGAAGGACATTTTTTTTTTTTTTTTTTTTGTTTCTTGGTCAAAATTGATGTATGTTTCACATGCAGACGTTATTCTGCGATAAAATTATACTTGTACTATTGACTGAATCGTGTACTGTTTTTTTTTTTTAATATACTATATTATAAATTAAAGTCAATAAACAACTTTAATAGGTGCTGATTTTTTATTCAAATCATATACAGTCCTGATCTCTTTGAAGAACAAACCTAAGATAGATTACATTCAGTTCAATTATCTCCATTCGATCTTAAACAGTTTACTAATTTTTGATTATCAAAACGATCAGGAATTTTATCGACGCTTCAACAGCAGATACAAAATTGCTTAAAACAGCCACAGGTCCACGAGTATTGAGGCAAAAATCTTGCATCGTCTAACTACAATTAATCTGAACCTATTTCTTTGGTTTTGTATATTCCAAAATAAATCGTAGTTCTATATATTGCCTTCTTTGGGTGAAGGAGGGGGGGGGGGCACCATTTGATATTTAAGTCTCATGCTATGAAACAGAAATATTTTCATGTTCATACCATTAAAGGTAGAATTGGAAAGTATCTCTCTCTTTCTCTCTCTCTCTTTTCTCTCTCTCTCTCTCTCTCTCTCTCTCTCTCTCTCTCTCTCTCTCTCTCTCTCTCTCTCTCTCTCTCTCTCTCTCTCTCTCTCTCTCGATCGTTGGTCTTGGTAATAAGGGGTCAGTGAGATAACGTTAGCTTTTTTCCTGAGTATATAGAAATACATGATCAGATTATAATACTGAAAATAACGAAAATATTTTGAATATTAACCAAACTTAATGTTTGGACAGAAATCAGTCGGAAGTACTAGATTGCCATGAATAGAAAGTTAGTCTATCCTATTTAAATTAGTACAATTAATATTCAGTAAAAGAGATATATGTTTAAAGTTCGGGGTAAAATATAACTTTAAGTCAGGGGCACAAACTCTATCTTGTATCCCTAGATACAGGCAATCCCACTGTAGGGATTTTATTCATTTATTTATTTCTAGGAGAACTAATTCCTGCTCTAATTATTTAAGAAATAGTTAACATTCTTACTAAATTATTAATTGTGATTTATAAGGTACACCCCCTGTTTACAGATTGTTATTGTGCGTGTGAGCTTCAATGTACCTGGGACTATTTCAGCAAGCACACAACCATGCAGGCCCCAGTGACGTAGCATCGTTTTTTTGATAGTGAGGGGAGGGGGGGGGGGAGCCAGAGAAAAACAATTTAAACTTACCTGGGGAAAAAAAACTTCACAAGCGAAAAAAAAAGGAAATTGTTAAAACTCGAAAATCCTGTTAGGGAGGTGGGGGTCTAGAGGCCAAACTTTTTTGTGTCAACTTTTTCAGTACCAGTTTTTACCATATCATACTACATTATACCCTTATTTCACCTTAATGTTGGATTAAAAATTGGGGTTAACCTTTTGGTGCAATCCATTTTAAAAGAATTTTATTACACGTGTGAGCTTCAAGGTACTTGGGACTATTTCAGCAAGCACACAATCATGCAGGCCCCGTTGGGGCATACGCTGTATCTTCCAAGTCTTACACTGCAGTCTCCAAAGGAGATTTTTATACCCACGTGACAATTCCAGACAAGGACTTGTCATATTTCATTCCCTTCATGTCAAGATTTTATCAGTTTTTTATGACCCCCTTTTTTCCCAACCGTGCGTGAACATATTTTTTTTTCTTGCAACTTGATATAGTTCATGTGAATATAGGTTTGGCTTTGTTCTTAATATAAATTTATGTTTTATAGGACTTTTATTGTGGCACGGTAAATATAAAAAATAAAACACAAAGTATATAGTATATCTTATAATTAATCATAATTTTCGGGCACTATGGAACCTAGGATTTTATCCTAAAAAGAAAATAGAAGTCAGTTTCAGTGCAACATAAATTGTCAATGTCTTAAAAATAAAAGATTATTTTTAAAAAAAATTAATCTTAAAAAATTAAGTAAGTTATAGGTCAACGTCAGTGTTAGTTACAGCTGGATTTATTCCACACAATGGAGGTCTTAATTAGTTAATCGCCGTGCAACTTTTAAAATTTCTTTCTATATGTATTTATTAATTTAGTGTACACACAAAAAAGGTCATTGAAAACTCGCTACTTAACACTGGATTAACCAAGATAGATTTAAAAGAAATTAATCCTTTTTATACTTCACTTCGAAATTATTTTAGGCATGCAATATGTACATAGGCGCGGATCGATAAATGTTGAATCAAATAAATCACACTGCAGCTCATGCCATTAAAATGAGTCAATTAATTACAGATTATCAGGACATGTCTTTCCTGTGTAATTGATTAATGGAATATGAGTTCTGATTTGTAAAGAAAATATTGAATTAGTGCATCATGCAGTCGTAAGGTCCACCTCTCTCGATCACCTGTCAGATGTCAACAAATCCCTGCATTCCTCAGGCGTGGGGTGTCAACTTACCCTCGTTTTCCCAATACATCAGTCTACAACAATATTTTTATTTATAAAATAAAGTATGATAAATATATAATAAATGTAATGATCGATCAGAATTCAGAGCGATGAAAGTTCTCTTTCAAGCTCGAGGAAAAACTTGAAACCGTCCTGGACACCCCTTCTTGGCGAAATGCAGTGATCCGTCATAGACATGCGCAATGCTTAGCACGTGTTCATAAACAATTTTACATGATAGAGGGGGAACATAAGAACTTATTGTAGTGATTTGTAGTTTTGGATTCTAACCCCTACTTAACTTTGGTAGTTTTGCAGCTCAGGCGCTTGTTTTAACATGGGGACTGAAACTAATAAAGACGAGCGTAACACTCCTGAGTATCTAGCACAGCTACTCAAAGACAAAAAGCAGATACAGGCTTTTCCCAACGTTTTTGTGCATTTAGAAAAACTTTTAGACGAAGGTAAGTTTCTTTAAACTTGGAGGATTCAAAACTTTCGGTTTCGTTTGAACGAGTTCTATGTCGTGTAAATTTAAGTCAGTCTAAATTTTCTAGTTTTTCGTGTGATTTAGGAGGAAGTATTTGTCATGAGAGAAAATCGAGCGAATGCGCTGAGCCGTGAACTCTGTTATGTTTACAAAACTTTCTCAACTTGCAAACTCGCTTCAAAAGTGAATTCGCCTTTTAATGGCACTGAAAATATACCGTAATTAGGAATACAAATATTCATTTTTAACTTTCAATGTCATGTCTCGGGTAAAAAGGAATAAATAAGGGATTCATTCGGCACTTTTGGCAGTAATTATTCAGAATGGGTGCCGTGATTTTTTGGCAGCCATTTTGAATCTCGCACTTCACTGCACACGAAAAGAACTGGAATTTTCATTATTTAGAAAAAGAAAGCAATCTTGAACGTTTGCTGGAAATATCTTCATTTGGCGATTGTATGAATGGCAAAAATTTTACGAGTTTTGTCCAAGTGAATTTGGCGCGTTTTCGTCTTATCTGAGTCCGTCAATCCTTGTTCAAACAAGGTGGCGATAAATAATTTAACATTAGCTCACCTGTTCGCACAGGTGTTTATATTATGGATTTAAATTGTTGACAGAGAAACGGTTTTATTTGTTATAGTAGCACGTACTGAAAAATTAAAAGTTAATTATTTAGAAATTGATATAATTTTATCTGTCATATTTTTAACATGCAAAATTGACATGACATATAGGGCACAGAGAGAGAAAAAAATATATGAATCATGGTATTTTGTTTAAAAGAAGTATTTTAATGATAAATAAAAAAAAAAAAGAGTTGAACATTACTTGCGCTTCCGAATATTAACAAGAACTAGAATTACATGGAAGAATAAATGATCACACTTTCGTGTGCACAATGCTTTCACTGATTCTCTGCTTTTTGAAATCACACAATTTTTATCCTTGGGCAGAAGTTGGCTATGACAATAATATATAATTGGCGAGGAAGCTGTGGCAAAAATATGCAGGGTTGTTTGAGGAGTTGTGCACCTTTTTTAATGCAGCAGTTATTCCCCTTGTCTGAACACCTAAAACCTCTTGTAATGTAGCACTGACCATGTAATGTAATTTTTACTGAATTCATGTATTTGTCAGCATGCAATGACTTTCTCTTTTTTATCCCACTTGACAAGAATCTTTTAACGAGATGCTTTTGGGAGAATTATCTCCTGTATAACCCATCATTAGATTACTGTTATAATACCATTTGATTAATTTTGTGTGCTAATAATAAAGTGACAATTTCTAAAGAGTGCTTTTTTGAATTGTCTGGTTCCAAGGTTTATGCAGCAGTGTTTTTTGGAATAGTTCATAATATTTTGCCAGTTTTTGTGTATGAATTAAAGAGAGCACTGGGCTATAGAGCGAAATATATTAATTCATACTGGTATATATATAATTTCATTTCATCATGCACCCTTTTTATGGATATTAATGAATTATCTAATATGAATGCTGTATTACTCATGGCCAAGCCATTTTTCCAACCATAATTTTCTAACATAGTTGACTAGTTTGTCTTTTATCATTATATTTACTCAACAGTTTTTCTCATGAGCATTTTTAATAATGTAACATTATTTTCCACATCCCCCCAAAAATTATCTGACTGGCTGAGTGTGGCTGGGTGTTCTTTATATGCACAGTGGACATGAGTTGAAAACCATGTATACATATCTATTTATAATACTTAACATCAGTAAAAATAATTACTAACACTTGATGGGTATCACCTAACAGAATTTGACAAAATCAAGATGATCCCCCCACTACAATAATTTTTGCAAAGTACCCCTGTGATAAAAAATTCGAAAAAAAAAAATAAATAAATTGCAAAACAGAAAGTGCTGTGCAAAGTGGAATTACGACTTAATATTCGTGAAGGAAGATGGACACAAATTACATAAACGCTCTACATTTTCTCAGGACAATGGGATTGTGAGTCTATTTCATCGAGCCCTTAAGTCTAAAGGCTAAAAGGATGATCTGACTAAAGGAGAAGGTATGAGCACTCTCATTTCAAACTTTTTATATTTTATTTTAAATTATTTAATCCAGATTTTCAGTCTATAAACAAGAACAAAACTGTGTGTTCAAGCGCAGTGACAGATGCAGCAATCGGAAAGGAAAAATGTGATATTGGTGCAAACTTTGTCCACGCTGTGAAAATATTTCACTTCATATCAGGAAACTACATCAAAATTTGATAAGTGGTCACAAGGTTCATGTTGTATGGGAAATGGGGAAAAATACTTTGGATGCAGATTTTTATAAAAAGCCAACTCTCATCTCTGGATGCTTGTGTTTCATGTGCAATAAAAGCACTTGAAAATTTTTCTTTCCTGTAATTTTCCTGAATTGACTGGATTGAGGGATTTTAACATGAGTGTGTTTCACGAAAACCATAGTTCAATGAAACAAGGACCTATAAAAAGGGATTATTGCAAGAGACATCCAAAGTCAATTAAAATTCCAATTATTTTTCAATAAACCAGATGTTTGCTGTGAAAATTGGTTTTCAATATTTATAGTCAACATACACTTGATTTTCCTGAGAATATTTGCAATTTATCAAATCATGTTAACAGAACCATGTTAATGATAAGAAATTTTTTGTTGGAAGATTTAAGTCAGAAAATTTTATTTTTTATTTTAGAAAGATGAAAAAAGTTTTGTGAGACTTAAAAGAATTTTTTGAGACAAAAAAAATGTTTGGCAGAATGTGTTGGGAGTCCAAAGTCTGAAAATTGATGCTAGCGTGTTCCTTAGATTGCTAATCTTGTTGAATGATGGGAGACTGCTATTGAAGATGAAATGTTCCATCTTGCAAAATGCTAAATGTTTATATACGATTATCAGTCAAGAAAGTTTTCTATCATGTAATTTTTCTTCACCTTGTTCAAATTCATGGAAATTTATCATATATATTGGTTATCTATTCCAGGAAGTTTACACAGAATTTGCGTTTTAAATTCAGAATAAGCTGAGTGAAATTTTTATTTTTAAGCAGGTATTTGTCCGTTTATCATTTAACAGGGAAATAATTGGTCCGACCCCTTTTGAAATCGAGCCCATTGTTATCTAGACTGCGGGTTTGAAGCAGGAAAAAATTCTCTCTGTTCATTTCCATTGTTAGACCGACCCTAATCAGATTCTACCTCAGACAAAATCTGAAAAATATTTCCCTGATTGTCTTTACCCCTTTTGTGAGCATGTGAATTAAGCTTTAGAAGCATCCATGTGAAAGAAAACGCACAAATGTAGATGTTCCAGCTAGGTCATCCTCCTTGGGCCGTGCATAATGGGAGTGGGGACCTATCTATACCTGGTTTGAAATAACAGACGTCTATTTATCGACACCAGCACATGACGAATAATAACACAGAGAAAGACTAACCTTCCCAGTCATGGTTAGATAGGCCGACACAATGCGTTACAATTATAATACCCAGCTCTCAGAAATCATTATCCAGCAATCTTAGGAGTCTCCAAATAAGATACTGTATCAGGGTATTTGTGACCCTTTTATTTTATTGGTAAATTTCGGGTAGATAGATGAACGGGATGATGATTCTCGTGTTACACGGAATCGGTTACAAAAGTCACCAGGCTTTGTTTGCAGGGGTTCCGTCGACACGCCCGAGAGGTTTGGGGGGGCTTTTTGTTTGAGGAATCTGTGTCGATGCTGGCTTCTCTATAGCGTTTGTGCTTGTCATTGCCTTTGTTTAGGTACTGTATTGTTCACATTGGTAGGAGATAGAATCAATTAGCTCAATAGATTCGGTTGGCAAAGTGAATGAATCAGGGCACTTTGTTTTGTATTATATCTTGAATACAGTAACGTGATGTCTTGTTCAGGACTATTCCTGTTGTGTAAAGTTATCTCAACATGGTGAGAAACATGCATACAAAATTCTTGTCATACCAGTACAGTTTAAGAAGGCAAAAAAGATTGATGGTTTGGACTGTCTTGTGAGTTTAGAGTTTTGCGATTTTTTGGGGGTCAGAAAGAGCAATTAGAAGATCATTATTTCAAGGTCTCACTTTATTTGAATATTCTGAGAATTATATCCAAAAAAAAAAATGAACCACATCCTAAATTTTGTATGTGAAAAGTTAATGTTAAAAATTTTGAATACTTTACATGAAGAAAAACCACCTCATTTTCACTCTATTGTCAAGTTTATATAAAGATAATTTAATTGTCGTTGATATGCCACTGAGGATAAATTCAGGTATGAATTTCATATGAAAACGCATATCTTTATATAGAGCAGGGAGTTTAATTGTGTATATCATTTGAATATTTTATATGCTCAAATGTCTCGTGTAGTAATTTAATGTCAGGGAAGTGAATTAATTTTAAACTTTGAATTTAGAATGCACTTTGTACGAGAAGCTCTGTGATGTAGCCTTTAATCATGTCATCTTATTATTGATTTCCCCAAATGCAGCGTGTAATTGAACTGTACTCAGAATGAGAGAAGAAATGGGTGTTCAAAGTGTAGATCACACGAATTGTTGAGAAAATTTCACACATTTGTTCTTGATAGTAAAAGGGTTAGATTTTAGCTCAGAATTGCATTCATTTTCTCGTTCTTGGAAGACTCATTTTTGGGGGGAAAATTTTTTCAGATGATTTCAAACATGTGTTAAAACTGCTTTTGTTCATGACTGTTCCAATTGAAATCCATTGCAAAGTGATGTTTTTCTACACAATAACAGAATGTGGTAGTCATTTGCTGAGGAGTAAGCCAGTAGTTTTAGTTAAGTGAACATAGGTGTTTCTCATTAGCTTGTATGGGTTTGTTAGGGTTCAAATGGTCTGCAGATGAAATTGTTATTCACAAACCATCCTAACTGAAAATGGCTGAAAAAACCAGATTGCAGGGAATTTTGAAGCAGTGTTTATAGGCTGGTTTTGATTTTGGCATGACCAGATGCCCAGTCTGTATTTAGAACGGTCTTTGGGAATAAAGTTTATCCATCTGAAGATTGGATGTGGTAAACTTTAGCGCCAGGCTTATGAGTTTTAAAAAAAATATGTGTCATGTTTTATGGCTGGGTCAAGATAGTTTGGAGATTTCTTTTTAATTTAGGCCAATTTCTGTGTTCATGACTCTTTAAGATTGTTATCAACTCCTGCTAGCAATAGATGGCTTTGTTCAGGGTAGGGGGATAGAGTTACAACTCAGTGGAAACCAATAACTTCCAGATGTTTTAAATTCTACAAAAAAATCTTTCCCAGGGCTTGTAGAATAAACTCTTGGCATCATACAGTGGCTGTTTTGTGCAATTTGTTCACTGACATTAAAAAATTTTCATGGATTTCCCTTCATATTTTTACATGTACATTTTCTATAATTGTGACTTTTATGCATAGGAAAACAGTCTTTTTTCCCCCTTTTTAATCTTTCGTTTAAATAATACCACTGGTCCCACAAAGATCAGCACTTACTGAATTAATTTTTAAGCTGATTAAAAATGTTACCATGGAGATTAAAAGTGTTGTGCAATGTATTTAGGTTGAATTGTTTTGATTTCAGATGAAAAGGCATTATGAAGAAATAAGGGTGCCTGGCATTTAACATATAAAACAGTTTTCAATAGACTCGGTTACCTCAAAATCTAATCCCTACATACATTATCAGATTTTACTTAGTTGCAGGGGGGCATTCAGGGAAAAATTACTGGACACTGGCTTATACTAAGTTTGTTTTTTGTTTCACCACAGAAATCATTATGTGGACATTTAACTCGTTTTAAGTTTTTATTCAGAAGGTTTTAATCCTTATTAAACCCGACAGCTAAGTTGATAGTACACATTAGATATTTATATTAATACAGTGTAGAACTTGGAAAAGTAGGAGGCCCTCGATAAATAAGCATGAAGTCAAGTGCACCATTACAATGTACTTCATGGTCAACAAAAGAGACAGGGGGGAAAGGGACCGCAAACTTGTAGGTACATGTCAGTACCCAATCAGTATCATTTTATAGGGCTTCTCTGAAGTGTTTTGTCACATGTTCCTGAAAAGTACTATGAAGTATAGGTACATTTATTTATTTTCCACATGTTGAACTCATGCATATTAGTACAAATTTTAAATCAAAAATTGCAGATTTCTGAGTAGACATCTCTCAGATAAAGCCTAAAATTTCACCTATTTTCTTACATTCACTCTATGTAAAAACTGCTTTCTCTTCCATTTTGGATTTAAGAAAAAAAAATTCATAACAAAATTTTGGAAGTGAATTGTTGTACTTTTTATTAACAGTCTACATATGATAGATTCATTTTGTCAAGACAGCTAGAGCTTTTCATACAGGCGATGTATACATAGTAGAAAGTACTCGACATGTAAAAATGAATTGTTCAACAAGATACTTGATAAGAAGCCTCCCCCGGTGTCATGGAGGTGTAAGACTGATGTAAACCTACTTAAAAATCAGCTGATCACCACTTCCTGTGTGGTCATGTACCACAAGAGAAAACGGGAACATGCTTTGATGTATTGTAAAAATTGTAAACAAATGAAAAGATGGATTACACCACCTTAACACATGTAGTGCCATCATAAGCCATATGCTAAAAACATAAAACTAGGTGTCAAAGAGTATCAATTTCTGATGTAAAGGTACCTTTAGTCTGTCTACCCTCATCCAGGGGACATAAAGGTAGACACTGGAATTCTAATTGCAGAAGATGGTGTATCTCAGGTGTAAATTTTTTTAAGCGCACACCTTGATGACTACAAAAATAACAGCAGAATGATTTATTGAACATAAATCCAGTGCCAAAACAGCAGTAAAAATGATCCTTAAACCTGGTCGAGATTGTCATATTTTGGCCCCGGGGGCTCAGCAAAATGACAAGTCGTGGCTGTGTCATGTTTTATCACCATTGAGGGGTGAAGGAATTTGAGCAGTTATCTAAGGTACAGTTTAGTCAGAGATCAGAATCAGAGAGTGTACATAGAAGCTCCAAGCAAAAGAGATGGTGTAAGCGATATAAGAGTTACATCACGTGGGGGGTGCTTCAAAGACAAGCCGGCAGCGGCGACCGTTAATGTCACTCAGGTAGATGTACCTGGTTATATTTAGGTCAGATGACTTGTCTTTTGGAGGAGTTTGTAGGTCAGCACTTTTTTTGCCAAAACTATATCATCTATTTTGGCTTCCAGTCATGGTGTTAGATTTCGAAATGATTGCAACTTTTTAGTCCAGCATAGATTTATAAAGAAAATAGGAAATTAGGAACAATTAAACAAATTTGCTTTTCTGCTATTTCGGGTATTTCCTGGAAAACCTGAGTGAGTGTTTCTCTAATTTTAATGTATACCGGATACACTAATGATAGTGTAATGCATATGACAGAAAGTTTATGCAAATACTTCACTCTGACTGTCTGAAAATTTTGAAAGGGGTGGGTGGGTTACACTACAACTGATAATTGATGTTCTGTTTATTCACTCAATGTATTGTAAAAAAAAGTTATATATGAGTCACATTTGATAATATTTGCTCAGGCCTCTGTAGAATTCCGAAGGTTGCTGTTCTGTTTGTGACAGAACAGGATGTTTCTTGGCCCTGAAGGATCGAAAACTCAGTCAGGCTTCAATATCTCCCATTTGTTATGTTTTCACCCACTATTGAACTAATGTCACCAAATAATTGTGCTAATAATGATAAGTCTAGGGACCATGAATATTCATTAAAGATTTTTGGAATAGGAAACGTCCTGTGGCGTATTGACTATGTACAGGCGATATGATTTATGTTTGGAGGTCAAACCCTGGTGATGTGATGGTTGATATTGGTCAGGGGAGGTGTAGATTTGTGTTTTGTCACTGGTTTTCATGTTTTTCCCATGTAGATATCAAAGCCTTACAGTTGTACGCAAGAATTTATCCTTCACATTCACAAATAAACTATCCCAAGTGTTTGCCTTACAAATGCATGTTACATTCCTGTAAAATTCATTCTTAAGCTTGTTTTGAATAACTGAATACAAAACACATATGGATTTATTTTTCAACTATAAATAACCCAGGTTTAGCTGACTTCAAAAATTTTTTTTTTCTCCACAAAATTTCAAGATTTTTTTTCCTCTTTATATGAGGTCTCCTTGTAAAATCATGGAGATCAGCTGCTAATTAAAAAGATGAAAAGAAAGATTCAAAGATTTCAGACGGAGAGCTTTTATCTGGTCTGGGTTGGATGCTTTCTTTTAATCCTGGAGGATGGGGATTTAAATGGTTTCTAATTGACGGGTTTCAGTGCAGGTGAAGCTACATTGTTGTTGTGGTCTGTAAGGTCATGGGGCCAGGTTTCAGTAATGGGTCAGGGTGTTTCTTGAAGTGAAATCATGGTCTGATCCACAATTTTATGAGCTATTGCAAATTCCTAGCTCATCCATACCCAAGTAAGGGTTCTGAAGTAGAACTTGATTATAGGTTTTCAGATGGAAATAATGATTGAAAATGAAAATTTTTAAGGAAAATATTTTAAAATCTTGAGTTGGTACTTATAAGGACTGTAGGTTTTCATTTTGGGCCACAGTGTTATAAACTCTATTTCTTGATCCTTAGCATGGTGTAAAAAAGTATTTTTGAAAACCTAACTGGTAGAAGGTACCTTAATTTACAATTGATTCTTTTTTCATGTTATTTTATTGAGTATGACAGGAGGATTAGAGAAAGATACATCATAATCATTAATTACAGATAGGCAGTCAGTATTTTTGATCAACAGTAAAGAAAAACTGATTAATAAAATGTCGTTTTTTTCTCATGAGAAATCTATTTCAGTATATTTCTGATCTTCTTCATCATGTTAATTAATTGAAGAATTCTGTGTTCTGGTTTTTTAGCTGTTGAAAGTAAATATTTTTTTCTTTATTGCAAATAATTAGACGAAAACTTAAAACATTCAGATCTACTGTTTCATGTTGGAGCAAGTGCAGCAGAGTTTCTTTGGAAAGAAAAAAAACCTCTCCATTAAATGCCAGAAAGGCTTTTAAGAAAGCCAGGTTTGATTGGAACAGGAGGTTATAGTTAGTAGTGGTTAATAATTTCAACCATGCAGCTCTAGAGTAAATTGGGAGTAATTTGCTGTACAGAAATTTTTTTTTGTTGTTTTTCGGCAAAGACAACCGTTTGGTACATCTGTCTTTGGAGTTGGAGCATGAGTCGACTTGGCAGAGAAAGGAAATGCCAGTTCAAAGGAGAGAAAGCAAAAGTTACAAAAATATAAGATCCTCATTAATTTTGTGTTTGTACTTTTTGTTTCTTTCAGAAATCAACAGAGTCCGACTTCAGTTGTTTCATCACAAAGGCAATGGCCGCATCCCACTCGAACTTCCAGACCCAATCGGTCCTGTGCAGACAGTGTCAGAAAAGCTATATGTTCCAGTTAAAGAACACCCAGAGGTAGGGAATTCAAAAACTCGTACACAAAATGCACCAAAGAGAGATTTTTATGATGTGTAGTTTTCAAGAAATTAGAAATGATAAACAGCATGTTCAGTCACACAACACATGCACAACTCTTGAAATTCCAACAAAGATCTTGGAGCTTGTATCAGCATTATTTTGCATTGAAATCATGCAACCTCATAAACCTCCCAAGTTTACAAAATTGATAAACTGTGTAAATGTAAAAGCAAAAAAATCCAATGCATGCATATACACATCCTTTGAATTGAAAGCTCATCAGTATACATGGTGTATGTAGAGATACATTGTCTTTCTTTTTAGGAGTAGCTTATTTGTGTAAGTAAAGGTTAACTATCTAGCAGACATTACTCCTCTGCGTTCATCACGTAATGGGGAGAATTTCTGTGTAATATTTCGTATTCCTGGTTTCTCTGTAGTAGATGTCATCGCCCTTCATGAGGGGGATCTGATGTTTATGTGATGTAGATATCCCCCCTCCCAGTTACAAGCCTGCCAGGTCACATGTTATGTCATAGCGTGACAAGTTCTTTATTGAGCTTTTATTGCTCGAGTGGGTGTGCATAGAGAGAGAGACAGTCTGATTTTTGTGTGTCGCTGAGTGTGCATTTTTTGGTAAATGGTGCCTCAATTTGCAAAATGGATGTTTTTCCACTGTGCAAATATGCATTTGCATTTTTTCTTCATTCTGGTTTTCTGACATTGAAAAATCAGACTCTGCAGCCCCATTGACTTTATTGTTCAAACTATTAAAGAAAACTTTGGAAAATAGGTTTAATATGGATTTGGGTAGAATTGAAAATTCTTTTAGAATTTCAATAATTTCTAATAATGTTGACCTTTAATCAACATCTGCACAATCACATGAATCCAGGGGAGAAAGGGGGTGGCAAATGGAATAAACTTGTAGTTTGAATTTGTAGCAGCGGTGTAAGAACAAGCAAGAGAAATGACAGGGAGGTTTAGAAAGATGTACACTGTTCCTTTATCTGTAGGGGGCGCAGCTAGTTATCTGTCTGTTGGGAGTCAAAAGCAGCTAATTGTCTCAGAAGTACAGACTCTGTGTAAACAGGGATTTATCTGAGAACTGATAGAGAGAGGTGATGAAATTTCACCCACTGGTCAGGCCGCCTGAATAAACAGTCAGCACACAGATGTCTCTGTACCAGGCTGGTGGAACGGAGTCATTCTGGGGGGCTGGAGATTGTTAGACATGTTTTATTGTGTTCTTTGGCAGTTGAAATTCACCAATTTTGCATGAGCAGCAGTTTGGTAGCTAGGGGGTACAAGGAAAGCTCAATTGCTCTGTTGTTGTAAACAGGCACCTTGTTTATGGCCTACCTGTTGAAATATTTATAGTATCTGTATACTTCTTGAATAAAAAGTGAATTTCTTTTAATTCAAATAAAAAATTCTTTCCAAGAAAGTTGGTCAGTGATACCGCTTTTCAGTTTTCACAGACTGAAATGAAAAAAAAAAAAATGTACTTTGCCAAAAAAAGTTCAAATTTAGTGTAAGAGCCCACAGATAAGGAGGTTTTCCACACTTTATCAGTGAATAGCCTCCTAATTGGCTAATGATACAAGTAAAGGGAAATCACCGGCATACTCTAAAACCTGGCCTGGCCCCTTTGGCCTGGCCTGGCCTCTAAGTTGGCCTGGCCTCTATTTTGGCCTCTAATTTGGCTTCAAACCAAATTTTGGCCTGGCCTCAAAAGTTGGCCTGGCCTCAAATTTGGCCTCTGTAAAAATTTTTGGCCTCAATTTTGGCTTCACTCAAAAATATTTTCTTTTTCAGAATTTGATTGATTTGATTGATTTTTTATTGGTTTCATTTTTTTCACAGATTAAGCAGGTGATTAATATATTTTTGATGATATGTAAATGTGAACATTAAAATAATCATGTACTACCACCAATAAGGATTATTTTATTGATTATCAATTGATCAGTGTACAGTTATTTCATTTTATTATTTACACGTCAGGTATTTCATACAGACACGCTACTGATACTCTTGCATATAATTATTTAGAAAAAAAGTATTAGAGTTTATTTTGTGTTTTCCAAATTGTGAACATTGAAAAAAATCTCTAGTAATAATTCATGTCAAATGTCATTAATAGCTTTGAAAAATTCCCACTTGTTAATAGATGAATCATCATCTTTCACACACTATGGAGTGTTGTGTTACTGTTATGCCTGCATCATCTGTGTGATATATGAATACAGGCACCTAAGATTTTTTTTTTCAAATAAATATACCAAGACAGATACCAAAATATTTATATTACACTTATTTGATTACTCTGTTAAAAATTCATGTTCACTTTAATCTAAGAACAGTTGGTATTTAAAAAAAAATTAAGATAAATAACATTATCAGATAAATAACTTTCTGTTCCTGGTGTGCTGTAACACTGTAATTAGATATCAAATGACAAAAAAATCTGCAGCATGGTTCTTGACAGGGAGTTTAAAGGTTGAAGTTAATCAGTAATGACATGTATATGTGCATAGGCTGTTAAGCCATCCATGATTTATAAAGAATTTCCTGCTACAACTTTCACTACCTACAATTATCAAAACAAAAGTTGAGTTTCATGATAGATTATTAACATTTGTGCTGTAAAACAATTGCATCCTATTCACCATTAGAACCCTATCATATAAAATGTTGTCAATTACTTGCATATCATAGTATTGACTCTTTTTCTATCATTTGTAAAAGTAGTCAACATCATCAAACATATTTTTTTAATTCTAAATAAAGACAGTTAAAAAAAACTTGTATTAAACAAGTAATACTAGTACTTAAAACGGCAAATTTAAAATTCTTTTTAGTTCTTAGTTAATTACTACTCATCTGCATTTCTTTGTTGTAATAATTTAATTGTGATGTTTCTAAATATTTTTTTTATTTAAACAATATTTTATTCACTGGTGTTATCGTGAATAGGGCTGGGCAGCAGGCGCAGCCTATTTTAGCCCTCTCCCTGATTTTGTAAAATTGTAAAAATTTCATTCCTACCATGGAAATTTAAAAAAATAAAGGCACATTTAATAAATCATTAAGAGAGTGTCTTTTTGAAAGTAAAATTATATGCTCTGTGTTATAGTCTTCAGAATTGCAACAGATCAATAGAAAATCAATAAAAATAAATAAGATTGGTAGTAGTGTATAATTATTTTAATGTTCACATTTACATATCAACAGAAATATATTAATCACCTGCTTAATCTGTGAAAAAAATGAAACCAATAAAAAATCAATAAAATCAATCAAATTCTGAAAAAGAAAATATTTTTGAGTGAGGCCAAAATTGAGGCCAAAAATTTTTACAGAGGCCAAATTTGAGGCCAGGCCAACTTTTGAGGCCAGGCCAAAATTTGGTTTGAAGCCAAATTAGAGGCCAAAATAGAGGCCAGGCCAACTTAGAGGCCAGGCCAGGCCAAAGGGGCCAGGCCAGGTTTTAGAGTATGCCGAAATCACCACCTGGGGACTAGCTAATTAAATTCAGGGAACTTAGTGTTAAAGGCCACCGGGGAGACCCAGATGAAATACATGTGGGCCTGCTGCTTTAGCTACACTATCTATGGAGTGTAATGGAGCAGAAAATCTGGACAGACTCAGGCTTAATTAATTACTGTTAGAAAAAGAGGGATGAAAAAACACACTTATTGGTGACAGTACACTTCATTTTTTGCATCATTTGGCAGGTATGGGCTTTTAGATGCTTTGCCCGAACTGACCTCTTGAGTTTGTGTGAAAACCCATGGGATCAATTAATTGATGCCATATTATGTTTATTGGTGCTTAAGAACTTCATAATTGATCTATGAATTGCTGTTAGGCACTCATAACAGAGAAGAAAAAAATACTCTTTGATGCAAACACATTTCAGGGCTGCATATTCTGCAAGCCATTGTTCATATTTTGACATGCCACATACATATGTACCCATTTTGTCAGACTGATAGAAAATGCGCTTTATGAGAAAAATAATACATTATTATTGTTGTCTAAAGCATTAAGCAAAAATTTGTATAGGTAATGCATATATATTTGATGATTTAATTACATAATATGATATTTGTTATGGTATTTTTCAGTTTAACTTTGTGGGGAGGATATTGGGACCCAGAGGAATGACAGCTAAAGAACTAGAACAGTACACAGGTTGTAAAATAATGGTGCGAGGAAAAGGCTCAATGAGGGACAAAAAGAAGGTAAGAAAGGCCGGTCAATGTGTCAGGGGCTGTAACTCTGTATGTATCAGGACTTATTATTCTTTTCAATGGAAGTGAAGTATCAATCAATCAATCATTTATTTGAATCTCATCACCATTTTACAATAGCATACAGAGACTACAAAAAACATATAGGTGATTTTATATACAACAATAGGTCTAGAAAGGCATGCGTGAGTAAGAAACTTAACAAAAACAAAAAAATCGTAGGTTACCTAGTGTTTTTCTGGGGTGGAGTTGATTCTCCTGCGTTTGTTCGACGAGCTGCCGTATCTGCTAGGGGTGCGTTGTAGATACTTCAATGTCTCAGCTGGTCCGGAGTCCTCTGGGTCATATGGCCTTCCGTTCACGTATAAGATGTCCCTGACCAGTTTCACAGTTTCACCCTTGCGTCGTAGCTCCTTCATAATGGGATAGAGGCTTTTCCTTGCTTGCTCGATCTCGTCCGGAAATTGGCGATTTATTTGGAAGGGTTTCCCTTTCAATTTATATGCACATTGGAGTACGTAGTCGAGGTCACGTTGATAAATAAACTTTGCGACAATTGGTCGATTCCTTTTGTTGTTTTTCTGCCCAAATCTATGGACAACTGTGAATTCGATGTCGTAATCAATGTCAAGCTCTTCGGCTAAAAAACCTCGTAATGTCTCCTCTGTGTTCTCTGGCACATTCTCGTGGATACCTGAGAAAATCAAGTTATATTTCATGGATCTGCATCTGAGATCGAGTATTTGATCCGTTAGCTCTTCATTTTTTTCGATTAACTCCTCAATTTCGTTCTCTCTCTTAGATGCATAGTGTACAACTTTCGCCTCCATAGCGTCTAGCTTTATTTTCATATTCTGAAACTCATTTTCTGATTTGTCCACTTGCTCTTTTATCCCGTCAAAAACATTACTTATTCCCTGTAAGCTTTCATGAAACTCTGGGTTTGTTTGATTTATAGAACTTATTTCTCTCTCAATGGAATTTACTCTGTGTGAAAGCCTCACTACTTCTTCACACATTTCGTCGATTTTCTTGTTCCTTGTATCGATAACTGAGCTCATTTTATTGAGTCGATCGTTCAAGGAGACTCCCATATTACTCACAAGCTCATATAATTTCTCTAAAGTAATTTCTTTCGATTCTTCACTTTCATATAATACAGCCCTAGCCTCTCCTAATATACTCACAGTTTCTTTTTCGGTCGACATTGTTGTTTACTAGTAGAAATGTTTGCTATAAATAGACTCCCCTGACTTGTAGAACTTGTAGAACGAGTTTTCTCAGCCCTATCGAACACGTACAATTGTTTGTTATCTTTGTTTACAGTAATTCAAGTCACATTTTTTACAAAACAGGAGTCAGTGTGATCAATTATTGCTATAAGTGCGATTAGACTACCTCTTTTCTTCGTTCTCTTGTCACAATATGGTAATTTAGCCCAAAATTTCTCTCTTCTATTTTAGTCCACCTTTCACATTCACGCAAGCGCACGCGAGAAGTATTATATTAGTAATGCCAATCATAGTTAAGGGTTTGGACGTCTAGATAGCGGCTTGAAATCAAGGACTCTTCCTGTGGCTCAATTCTAGGGTAAAGAGCTGTGATTCTTTTGTAAGGATTACAAGGGGCATAACTCATTTCAGAGAGTAACATATCTGTCAGGAACAGTAACTCTTCCGTAGGAAATATGTATTTATAAGAGAAACCATTGTCCCCCCCAAAAAATCATACAACACATTCTATTTGTGGCAGAAAATGAAAATAAAGATGCATTTCTTTTTCTTTTCTTTTTTTTTTTTTTTAATTCTTGCATGTACACAATGTCATGGAAAACTGATAGGCTTTCCCACAGTTTTAGTGTTAAGAAACATATTTAAGCTAAAACGTGTGAAAGGAATGTCACAGATGAATAATGAAAGAAGTAGTTTCAATCTTGCATGGTTAATTTCTCAAAGTGTCGGATGGTCAGAATTTTGTTAATATAGAAGTTTTAGAGCTCGAGAACACCTGATGCATTTTCTTTTTTCATTTCACTTGTTTTGGGAGAATGATACTGCAGCAAAATGAGTCATGATTTGATATGAAATTCCAGCATGACTCAAATTTTTGATTACAAAATTCTTAAAGAAAATTTTTATCAAATGCAGATGCACATGATATCTTTAGGTTGGGATTATTTACACATTTTGTCATGTCTCTCTTCAATCTTGCAGATGTTAAATTTCTTGTCAATTCATGCATATCCCCCCAAAAAAGAAGGTTCTGACAGAAAATATTTAATTTTTTGATTTCCTTTTTATATAAGGGTATTTTTATAAAAAATTTCAAAATTTGCATAAAGATATACATGTATATGTGTACCCATTTCTTCAGTCCTCATAGAAACTTGTAAGTCTATTCTCTGAAACATGTTCCTGCAAAGTAAAGGGTATTCGAATGATTACAAAAGTCAGCTATTCTTTGAAAATACATTATCTGAAATGTATTTACAGAAATTTCTTTATAACACGTGTTGTTCCTACACATTGACCAGTTGGGGGGTTAGGTTGGATACTAAAACTATGGAGTTTGATATTGTAGCCTGATTAAGCTGATGATATCTGTCAGGTCTAGTTGGCTGTTGAGGAGTTATGGTAGAATTTATAGAGTGAATTGACAGATCCTACCCAGACACAGCAATGATCAGTTTTTATATCTATTTGATAACCACAGAGGGATAAAAGATAAAAACTTGTTGATGAAAGAATTTCTTGTGCTGCTCTGTTTGCTGGTGGGGCTATCTTTGATGCAGTTTTTAAAGAGAGTTTTATTCCATATTATCTAGCTGCTTATGATTAAACACTCAGATATATTTCCATTAAACCAAATTTTTGTGGAGGAACTTTGCATTCTTTTTCTAAGCTCATATATAGGTCATGAAATGTATCCTAATTATAGGCCATATATAAATTGAATTATTGTTGAGGTACCACCTATTTCAAACACTTTTTCAGAATTGCAAACCCTGCATAATGCATACACATATTATGAAAACTTGTCATATTCAATCCCAGGTCGCTCTGTCCTAATGAAATCATAGACATCTGTGGGTATGACAAAATCAGGGTGAATACTTTGAATAATTTTTAGATTCTCAAAAATTCTTTGAGGTGGTATAGTGTATATAGGATAGTTTATTTTTAGACTTTGGCCAAATTTATTAGAGAAAAGTTTGTACTATTTTTGAGAAAGTTTCTAAGAAAACAGATGCAGACAATTGATTAATGAGAGAAATTGTGTGAAGGCATGTTCCAATGTGTGTTTGGAGAACCCTGGTTTCTGTAGCCAGGCACTTAATGTGTCCATCAATATTCACAGAGCAAACAGCTCGGTTCATATCCAGGGCTGGAATGATGAGGAATGAAGAGATGGCTATTGACAATCAGTTATCAGATGGGTGTCATAGTTTTAGATTTTCTTCATCCATGTAAAAAAAATGATATAATGTGTAAGCCCCATGCAGAAAAAAAATAATAATGCAGGAAAAAATTCTCATACATCCTTGCCCCAAACATATGTGCTTTGGTTGGAATCCATATGTTTGGGTTATTTTGGAAATTGCCAGTGAGCATTAATTTATTAGATGTACTTATAATAATGCATAGGTTTGGTTCCAGAAACAGATTTTTCAAAGAGTTAAAAGGTTCTGAATCATTTAGCTACATCTGATCTATGAATCTCTTACTTTAATTGTGACATGTACATTAAACTCAATTTGTTGCAGTGTAAATTTGTGGTTAAATCTTAGCTGTATTAGGAAGTGATGACTTTATTTATTATATCATGTTTTATAGGAAGAACAGAACAGAGGAAAACCAAACTGGGAACACCTGAATGAAGAACTCCATGTGTTGATAACTGTGGAGGACACACTCAACAGGGCAGAGGTCAAAATGGCAAAGGCCATGGAGGAGGTCAAGAAGCTCCTAGTACCCGCTGTAAGTATTCATACACACCATCAGTGGCCTTCTTTTTTTGGTTCAGCAGTATCATAGATTTTTTTCAAAGAAAGAATCCAAAATGCTCAAAGTTAATTGTAAACAGTTCTAAACAAGATAAATACATTTTTCTGTAAATAATTTACAATTGAAATTAGATAACCTTTTATTGTTTTGATTTTGGTAATAATGTTTGTGTTTTCATGTATTTAATGATGACTGGCCAACATTTTCTCTATAGCTATAGCTTTTACTGTTCTATCTTAACTTGGCCATTACTATCATGGCATAACAAGAGGCATATCACTCACTTATAACCAGTACTGGGAAATTTTGTTTAAATAAAAATCGCATTAAGTTCATAAATCTGCTACACTCGATCCATTATATAGTAAAAAGAAATTAGAAGGGGCTACATAATCTTGTGTAATGGTAACCAAAATAAGCCCCTTTTGATTACAAATAAAAGTTTTTACACATTTAAAACCAGCTATTGGTGTATATAAGAGAAGGCCTATATAGCAGTGAGATTTGTCCTTTGGCTCTGTCACACAACTGTTAATGGGGTCTTAACATGCAAACCTTGCAGCTAAGTTAGGACTGGGTCTTTGGCATTCACAGAGAGATTATTGACAGATAATAACAAAAAATTGTATGCCTCTGTGAGGGGGGGTTCTGGACCTTGCGCTAGTTTAGGTCATCCAAATAGATTTAAGAACTTCTTAGCTTGGCCTTCGGCAGGAATTATAAAACTAACCTGTATGAAAAAAGTAGAGTAGTCTAATTTTGAAGGAATATTTTGAGGGAGATTAATGTTTAAAATTCTTTCTTGTGACACTGTGTATGGAGTATAATATTTTGATTTATACATTTTCTAGAAGATTTTGCCCTTGGGTATTGAAGCAATTCTTATTATAATTTTGCAGGAATATTTTCAATTTAGTCAAAAAATACACTTAATGAAAATGTGTAGAATTCAAAAATGAACCTCATCAGAAGAATTGAGTGAGAGAGATAAAAATCTAAGTGTCAGAGACAGTCGATGTTAAGGAAGATAAGGAAATTCACTGGTTATAATTCCTGCTTTGTAATGAAATATTTCCTGTATCTCTCTAATTGAGGTCGGAAACCCACTATAGGGAAACTCAAGTCTGAGCACCAAGTCTTATTTTCAGGAAATGAAAAACTGAAACTTTTCCTTATTAATCTGTTATCTGCATTCATTATATTGTTATCGTAAATGGACAGCATCTGCAATTAAAGTTTAAGTCCAAAAGGAAAACTTCTATAGAAATCTTGTGTAAAATTTCCTTCCTTTTCAATTATTTTTCATTAAAAACATCAGGAAGGTCTAGATGTTTTTACAAATTTGTTTGATTTTCCTTGTGATTAAGAATCACTTGAAATTCTAAGCCATTTTTGGTAACTGTTTTATTATGTGAAAGGAATTAAGTTGTACCGCTGAATGACATAACCTTGATTCAAGATTTGTGTCATTGTAAAGACTCACAAGGAGAAGACAAGCCCTTGCAAATTGTCAAGAGTAAAAGAGATGAAGTAATCGGTTTAAAGGTCTTTAAACACCTTTCACAGGTTTGAGACTCAAGTTTCCTGGCTGAATGACGGAACACTAAATAGTGTTGTTATTTCTCAAAAAAAGATAAATTTCCTGTCATGATATACATTTCATAATTACTCAAACCAAAGTTTGCCAAGTCTCATTAGAGAGTGTGTCCCTGAGATGTTGAAATGCCTTAGAGACCATCATTGGCCTCCATTATTAACATAACTTAGAGGTAGGAAAACATGAACGTAGCGGGAGATGGCTCGCTAGACTGAACAGTCAGGGTTCAAATTGTTAACTGGCCTGCAGAGAAATTGTCCCAACAATGAAGACCAAACATGTCATCCACAGTCAAAATGTTTTTGTAGGGTTACAGGTTCTTCTTTTCTTTCGCTGTTAATTGACAATGGGTTGTCACTGGTGAAGCCCAGCAGTACAAATACCAAGGGAAAATGTTTAGGCTAGTGTTTTGTGTTGGACAATGGGGGGAATGGATTTCATTGTGTGGATAGGGTCCCTGTTTCATAGCAAGAGAAAAACTTCTGCCTTGTTAGACTGTCCGTTGACATAAGAGATTTTTGTAACTCCTTCTATGTTGACATAAGAAATCGATTGCAATCGTTGACTTCTGTGGAAAAATTAGCTTGTTAGGTGCGCCTCAGAGAAAATAATTCAGGACACTTTATTTGGAAACAATTAGCATTCTTTAATGGAAATTGGTTGTGGTCATTCAGAAATGAAACTGCTACACATTGGGTGTGCATGGTTTGTTATGACGTCGAGATTTCGTTTTCCTTTGCCAGACTGTACAAATTAAATTTTTTCTGGGCAAATATTAGAAACTCAAATAGAATTATTTGGTTTGTCCGGAAATAAGTAAACACTGCATGGCTCTGATGAATTGATTTTTCCCAATGACCTTACAAACAAAACAAATCAAATATTGCTCATAAAAATAATTTCTTCTAAAAGGTGAAAAAGAGAATTGAATAATGATAGATTCAACAATAAACATGCATGGACATGCCTGAAATAAAAAAGAAAGTGTTGACCATTCTACATTTTCCAGTTTACAGTGCATAACGTTCATGAGGGCCCAGCGGCAAAAATTGACCACTCTGTCAGATCTAGGTCTCCTTTGAAAGTGTTCTAAGATCTGACATTTGGGTCTCGAGATATTTTTTTCTGACGAGTCCTGTCCTTGCACTGCATCTGTCAAGCGTTCACAACAAGGTGACAAATCTCCCCCATAAAAATCAATCACTGGCCCTCCCGAGGAATTCCGGGCAGAAATGACGGGAGAGATGAGCTATCGTGACGGTCCGAGTGATTGACAGGCCCCCAAAAGTATGCACTGTACTCTGTACAGAAAAAGAAGTGATCAATTCAAACCAAAGATTAACAAGTTTTTACATCAAGCTTTGATTAGCTACAGGCTTCATATAGATGTGTGATGAATTAGGGGAAGGAGTTTATTTGCCTGAAGATAAGCAGTGATGCTTCCTGCCATGTGTTTGTCCCATTGCTTTTCTTCTTCATTGATTATACAGTTTAGATCAGATACAGGGTGTACCAAGTTCATGCATGATAATTGTTATAGAATGAGCAATTAAGTTAGGGAGTGTTAATGACCATTACACATTTATAAATTCCAGCATTTATTTTTGTATTCATTGCATAAAAGCAGCAGTTCACTCGCGTTGTTTGTCTTCGTAGTCAGTCGTGGAACTTGTATAGACAAGGCTTCCATGGATAGATATTCAAAAAATCAAACACACACTTGTTCTGTTTCTGTAAGCCTATAATTATCGTATAAAATTGTCAGTCAGTTTGTAGCCCCGAAGCATATTTAAGGCTTGTTTGGTACCACAGAGACACTAGATTTTTATCATTCTCCACCATATTTTTCTTTGGTTTGCGAAGGTAGCCGAGAGGTTTTTGTCGAATTAGGGGCCTTTTTATGCAGTGTTCATTGTCCTTTTAAAACGCATTACCTGTCACATTAGGGCCGTTGATGCATTTATTTAATCTGTAAATACAATGACGGATATAAAGGGATTGTTGCCAGCTCTATTTTTGATTGTATCATTTTGTTGGTACCAGCTGATCAAAGGACTGGATGCTTTGTCATATAGCTTAGGCCTATAGATAGGTCAGAATTAGAGAGAGATAAACAGAACTATTCAAAATACAATTAATATAATGGGTCATCTTGGTATATTCAAAGATCTCTTTCTGCTTAAAAAGTTTTGCTTTAAAGCTTAAATAATATTTTCCAGGGGGTAATATCCAGCAAGTAATAGAATGAGAAAATATTTATTAAGTATTTTAACATTTCTTTTTCTTTAACAGCAGTAAGCAAAAGTAACAACATACATGTAATAATTCATAGCCCTACGTTTGTTTATTTTTAAAACCATGAAATTTTGTTGGATGTCTGAAAATCAAAAACAACAAAAAAGTCACAATAAATAATAAAGCTTCACTTCTGCCACACTGTCTAATAACCCAAAAGATTTACATATAACTAATACACTGATCAGATCTAACACCCTAACCCTAAAAAGGAACAATTCCCCAATAAGTGTAAGAGATAGAGAATTTGGTTGCCTTTTTTCAGCCGGAAGGGGAAGATGATTTGAAGAAAATGCAATTGATGGAACTGGCCATCTTGAATGGGACATATCGGGATTCCAAAGCGATCCCTCTAGCTCGTAAGTCTCAGCCCTGTCTCAGACAGGCTAACACAACAAAAGTATAACCACTAACGTGTGAATGTTGACGTGTTTGCGACTCTTTTTTACAGCCCGATGGCGAGGACGATCTTAAGAAACGCCAGCTGATGGAGCTAGCCATCATCAACGGGACGTATCGAGACACCTCCAAACCGGCCACTTCCCAGGCCGGTCCGGGCGGTCAGTCCGCCTCCTCTCGTAAGTCCCGCCTCCCGGCCACGCCCACTCGCTACCCACGCCAGTTCTGTGTGCAGTGTTTATAGCTTTATGTTTTTTACCTTTTTATCCCCCTTGGCTGTCTGTGTTTATATTCTTTATTTTGCATTGGTGTTTTTTTTTTCTTTGGCTTAAGGAGTCTTCCTTTGGAGAGGGCCACCCCACCTGATGGAATGGGTCACATTCTACTCCTAGTAGTCAGTGCATGATAGATGCTTCTTTATTTTATCACCCTATACAAATCCTTTTTTTCTTTGTATATATGATATTGCTGAGATGAGAATTTGATAAAGTTGCAAATTTGTGCCATTGAAATGTAGAGGTTTTTTTTTAAAGCAGTGCATTGTATTTAGTAGATATTTATCTAACCTATGTTTCAGAAAAAGCAGACTTTCTTTGTTTATAGAGCAGAGAAAGCTTGCCAAATTTTATCTCTTTGCAAGTTAATTGAGAAGTTTTTGTGACTTGAAAAAAATTCTCATCTCAGTATCACCATACGCTGAAGGCTTCAGAGAGGGGAGAAGTGTCTTAATCTGTGCATGTTGGTGTGGGTACTGGTATATTATATTTATATGAATATTTATGGGAAAACATGGTACCTGCCACCTTAATATAATCACATGGTTCAAGCAGTGGAAGGGAAATAACTCTTACTACAAAAATAGGAATTACATTACTGCACAAAATATTTTATTTCCTCATTTTGATTTACATGTACTTTAAAACATTTATTAAAACATTGAATTCAAGCTTTCATATAAGATAACTCTTGATAAAATAAAAGTCCCTTCCTTGAAGCCTAAGTCATTTCTTTTTTCAGTGGCTTTTATTTATTATACTGTTAGTTCCAATGTTTATTTAAAATATTTCAGACACATGAGTTTGCTTGTTGTAATCTGTTTTATGACTTTTACTTTTTTTTTAGCTCTCCATTATTTTTATATATAGTCTCCTTCACGATCACAGCTGAGAAATTCTACACATTTGATTGTACCTTTAGAAAGGCTTAGGTCTGATAGAAGAGGAGGGATGATTGAATTAATCAAAGTGAAACTTCAATAAGGAAATAATTCCTTTTGGATGTGGATGCTGTGGTTTTGATTTTTTTTTTCCGGGGGGGGGGGGGGGGGGGGAAAAAAAATTGTCATCCATTTTGTCTTGGCCAAACCATGAAGCATAAGTTTTATATCTTAGTATTTATATTATATGACAATTAGATTGCTATTAAGATATTATAAATTGAGGAAATTGTATTATTTCAAAACAGCACAAAATATGACTCATACCTAATAAGAATAAAACCACAGTAACTGCAGTTAAATACCCGGTATATTGATATTGTTTGCCATTCCCTCCTTTTCTACCAGAGACCAGTGACTGATTTCTATATTTATATAACTATGATAATATGTTAACATGATGTCATTTAGGGTTATATAAGGTGCATGCTATACCAGGTGTAGTTAATCAGTATGACCTTGTTGTATATAAACACGCATGTTACTATTTTTTCTGAAAGTTTTTTTTTTTTTGGAAACAAGTCCCCTTTCTAGATGTGTTTATTGGTGCTAACATTTGAATTGATTCTGGATTTTTGCCTCCTTCCATTAAAATGTTTACATTTCTTCTTTTTTTTTTTTGGAAAGTGAGTTAAATTGCTTTGAAAACTCCCAAAGAAATAATTTGCAATGATAATGGATAAAGTTTTGATGCTGCATTTGAATGTTGCAAATTGTTTCAGTTTTTTACTAGAATTGAGCTTTCTGATGAGGCTGTTTAGGGTCCTGTACTGCTTTATTCTGGGTTCCCAATGAGCATTCACTAATATGACTAGAAGAATATTTCTGATAAAGAAGGGGGTGTTATTTTCATAAATTTTATCATACATTTAGAAATGTTATCTTTAAATTTTCAATTTATTATATAATCTTAATTATTTTTTAACTGCAAATGATTTCCTTAAATTTCTTTTACACCTGCATTGTTCAAAATGAAAACTTATCAAGACAATGATTTGAAAAACTAAATAAAATAAGTTGTCTCTCAATAATACTGGGAACCAGTTCAGCAGTAGGGGAACCAGCAGTTGATGATGATGGTTGGGTTGTGTGCTAGCTGGTTTAATGACTCTTGTGTTTTTTTTTGCACCTTTTTCAAGATGCCTTTGGACTACCCTGGAATGCACAACTTCAAACCATGCAAATGTTGGGTCAATTTGATGCCAGTGGAATCGACCATAAGAGCATACTCAAGACTTCCTCAGGTATTATCGTATACCTGTACAGTACCTCACTATAGACAAACACTCCTTTTGCATCCCTTGAAGAATGAATTGTTATTTAAAAAAAAAAAATAAAAAAAATGGACCAAATTTTGACAAAATTCTTCAAAAAAGCTTCTAAACTGAGAAAAAAATTAACAGCTAGCTGTTATATGGCCATGTTTACTATGTGAAACTGATTAACGTAATTTCAAACTTTTGCCTTTTTGTTAAAATGTTAAATGGAGTGGTATTTAGTTTGGTTGTTTGCAGCTTAGTGTCCAGGGGAAATAAATCAGATTTCTCATCAAGAAAAGGCAACTTGATATTAATTTTCTAATTTATGTCGAAAATAACTTGATTATTTCCCCTTGACAAGACAGCGCAACATCAAGTGAAAAAGCTAACAGCAGTAGATTGTTAGATGCTTTAGAAAAAAGAGAGATAGAATTTAAGGACCAATATTTAAAAAACGAATGAAGAAAAACAATTTGATATACAGTATGCTCATATGGTAACATTCAGCATAATTGTGTATAGCAAGTACATACTGCATTTTTTCTCATGATTACAGGGCTGTTATATATCAATTTATAGATTGGGTATTTTAATGGAAATGATAATTCTGCTCACTCCGGTTCTTTAGAAAACTTTAACATACCCATTGCAATTTTATTGAATAACAACTAACAAGGACTATCAAATATAAAAAAAATTTTCTTCACAAATTTAGTTTAATTCAGTTGAGATATATTGTGCAAGAAAAATGATTTTAGTGCCTCACAAGAAAATAAAAGATGAAAAATAAATAGTTTTGTTTAAAATTTCTAATGGGCACTTGATTAAAAATTGACATTATAGATATCTGAATATCCTCATTTAATTCGAGTAGATCTTGCTCTTGCAGAGGCCCCCCGCTTCCTGACAGCAGCATCGCCCCTGACAGCGGGGATCACGGCAGCCACTCACCTTCGTTCCCCCACCCCAGCAGGTGCCCCCCTCATCCTGGCCCCACGCATGCCTCAGGTCGCCACCAGCTCAGCGTCCATGATGAACCCACCCCCCTTGGTGTCCCCCACAGATACAGCGGGGACAGGGCTGGTGTACAACCCCTACGAGTACCCCTACTCCCTACAGCCCACGGCAGCCATTGTCGAGTACCCCACCTCTTTTGAGCAGACGGCAGCCGGTATGTTGAATTTCTCTGCTGTGCGATAAAACAGCGTGTAGGATACAAAGAGAAATAAAATCAAACTTCTTTTTTTTTTGCATCATGATAGAATTTTTATTGAACATAAGAGCTATTTTTTTGTGCAAGTACATTACAATCAAAGAAATATTTGTGCCCAAATATATATTTAAGTGAGAGAGAGAGAGAGAAAAATACAACTCTCGTATGAAATTTTTTTATGTACAGAACTTGTTGACTTTTAATATCTCCTTGTTTTTATCTATTTTTTCGTTATATATACATATACTTATTTTAGTCGACAAATGATTTAAGATTTATGTAATTATAATTTTTTTATTTCTTCCCTCATGATTTATTTTTCATTGAACATTCCATTGTTTCCAATGACACATTGTGAACTGTGAAATGGACACAGACACACATAATATTATAAATGTACTTCTATCTATATATAGCCACTTGTTTAGCGTATGACAGTTTGTAAATAAGATGTTGTTTTATTTCATGCTAGCCTCTGTTAATGGATTCATAGGGTAGGTGATATGTGATGCATACCAGTAAAAGTTATAGCTCATTATATATAAATAACAAGTTTTTGATGCTAGACTTAATGAGCAAAGGGGAATAACTCTTAGGAAGGAAAATAATAATCTGTAGGAAAATGGTAATATTTCTGGATATCGAAATAAAAAAAACATAAATATGGGAGGGGCAAAGTAATACCGCGAGAGGGAAATATTTTCTGACAGATTTTCAAAATTAAAAAAAAAATTAGACTCATATAAGAAATTTAGAAATATTTAGAACAGATGTTGAAAATAGGAAAAATAATTTTTAAAATTTTAATTTTGATTGTTAACAGGTAGATAATTAGAAAAGTCGACGAACTTCGGTGCAAATAACGGAGAAGTAGAATCTAAGACACACACTGTTTGTATGTGATCAAAACACTGCTCACTCGTTAACCAAAAAAAACTAGATCATTAATGAGTTAATAGATGACTTAATAGATGGTTTCTCTACTTGATTTGGTGGTGGCTTCAAGATAAATCAATAAAATTTTTAATTTAAAAAAATTGCAAATTGAGAAATGCCCTGTATTTACCATGCGTCAGCTGTTGAAATGTCTGTAGGATAATTCACTATAATTATCTGAGTTTTTATTTTGGAGTGAATGAATGATAGTTTTTATTTTCGTAGTGATTGCTTATTGACAAATTTATTTTATTCCGTCTTCTTTCATGTTGTATTAATTTTGAATTTGGACGCTTGTGTTAATTTCATTCCTCTTCACGTCTCTAAGAGTTGATTTTCATTTATGTACTGATTTCACACTTTTTAAAAAAAATCATAATCTCTTAATAGGTTTTCAATTTTTTTTGTTCTTATTCATTTGCAAATGAATAAGACATTATTAAGTTTTTTTGGCATGTAATATTTTTTGTTAAGCAATTGATTTTTTTTTAATTACTACATTTTAATTAACATTTAGTAACCCCCACAAAGTAATTAACCGTTTCTGGAATTAACACATAAAATTAATTATTGATGGCCCTTTTCAAAAAAGGTGCCTTCAAAGCTTTACATATAAGACCAGATGTCTTTCAAGCATTTTGGTATTTTTGGTATATATTTACTAGTTTTTTGTTTTCGTTTTATACAAGAAATCAAATTTTTGTTGTATTTTTAGAAGCAATATTTCGCACAATCAGGACGCAATCAAATAACATTACAGTTTAAACATACACATGTACATTATATACTGACTGTATCTCTTCTAATGGATTTGGACAGCTGTCCAAGGAATTTAAAAAAAAGGGAGGGTGTAGGGGGTGAAGCTAGTCATGGCTAGGCATGTTTTTAGATTAAAAAAAAAGAAATTGGGGTTTATTTACTTAGTGAAATATTGACTGATAGGAAAAAAGGTATGAAAGATATCTTACTCTTCTAAGATGATAGATCTTGGATTAGGAAATTGAAGAGAAAAAGTGTGTTGCATACACTTAGACATTTTATTTGATAGAGAGAAATTTAAGCAAATTTTTTAGATTGTAGTTTATGAGCATAAAGTTTAATTGAAATGTAGATTGCTATGTACCTAGTTTTGTCCTTCGGGCTAATATGTCTGGGGTTGCTTCCCCTTGGAAGCGATGCCTGATCGGGTATAGGTTTTAATGTGTCTAGCTATTGCAGGTGCTGTGCCTAAGATCCGCCGAACCCTGGACAGTGTAAGGACTCACCCCTATACTAGGGTAGCCCTTCCATAGTTTACTAGGAAGGTTAGTCCCCTCTCTCATCTTTTTTCTCCTTGTGATGCAGTCTCCTGGTTTTGAACTTAGGTGTATGACAAAAACCTTGATTGCAACTAAAAAAAATTTTGTAACTTTATTTAACTCATTATCCTTATACAACTGTTTTTCTCAGTTCTTGCTTGAATGGTAGGTGAATATGCCTATTTTGAGAAACCTAGAGACTGTTTCAGGGCTTTGTTTTATTGGACCCTTGATTATTACTTAAGGTCTGGCGATATCGTAGTTTGAATGAGAGATCTAATGATCCTGAAGATAAAAAAAATCTGTCTCAACTAAAATTATAATATAGCGCAAATAACCACTAAAATTTGCCAATTTTATAGCTTGTTTGGATTAATTGATTAACTTGTTTAACCTTTTAATAAGTAAAAATTAAAGTGTGGTATAAAAGGCTCGCCATTTAACATATCATGTTTATGATATGATTTGAAATAAATTTTACAAGGTTGGCTATGACCAGGAAAATGCACATGTCAAAGACCTCAATAATTTATTTATATATTTGGAAAGTGTTCACATACAATAAGAGTGCAATAAGAGAACTTTTTTGATCCATGTATAAATGTTGGTCTTGTTAATTGTAACCTAATACGTTCTTTTTAGTGCTATTTAAACTCCATTGGTTGACTAACCCTTCAGAAAACCTTTTTTTCTTTCATAAAAGATTTTAATTTTCTCACTCTTGATGCCATGGCGGTGTTTTTGGGCGTAAATAACCAACTGTCTGAAAAGAAATAACCCCTTGTTGCTAACCATTATAATAAGAAAGCATTTTCCTGGAAATGGTCAAGCCTTTGGTAAAGGTCATAAGAATTCATGTGCTGTCAACCCTCCACAGTTTTTTCTTAACATACAAGTCTGAATCTCGGAGACAACACTTGAGTTGTGAAAGCAGATGAGATTAGAGTCATTTAAGCACAGTCAATTCATGTCAACATATCCAAAGAACTAGACATATCGCGTTTTAAAAGATATACAAGTTCTGCATTGATTAAAAATTTTACATAGAGTGATCTTTCATTCAAATAAGATTCCAGACCATCCTATATGTTTGTAGGATATCATGTTTATTATCATTTATAATGCATTTTTCTTGTAGGTCATTTTTAGGGTTTGATTAGATATTATTTGCAATTTATAAATGCTATGATATGTCATGAAATATTTTGTCCATAGTGCTTTTATTACAGGTGTAGAAAAAAAAACTATATTTGTTCAAACAATGCATTTGAAATGAATCGGAAGAGATTTTTGTCATGTAGTTATGTACTAGTGCAGGGATAGAGAGATGCCCAATCTTATTTATGATAGTCCCATGTTTCGTATAGAAAATGTGATGCCAAAGCCGAAATACAAAGCATAATATTGTATTGCGATGAACAATCATTCCATAATTTATTTGTATATCTCCAGCATACAATCTCAGGCAAGTTTTGGAGGGTTTTGTAAATTGCTGCAATTCATAGAAAACATTTTTTTTTTTGTTGATTTTTGCCTCCTGCTTTTTTGTTATGTCTTAGTTTGGGTTTATAAAGCCCAATTTCGTTAGTGCTAGATTATGATTTTTTTTTTCTCTTTTTTGTGCTTGATAAATATTTATGTGTAAGAAATGCCAAAAACGTTGCAATTGATGCTGAATAAAGAAGGTTTCTACATAAACATTGAAAGGAAAGGACAGTCCGCAATGATATTTATTATAGAATGGTTAGATATGATAAAAGATTATTTATTTCATAGTGTCAATTATTGTTTTATTTATAATGTTCAAAAATAAAATGAACCTTTTGAATCTTTTTGTTACAAGTTCTTTTCAACAGTTTAAAAGGTTGTCAAAACATACTGCATTGAAAAATGCTCACTACAAAGTATTGGAGGATTGCCAAGTGACTAAAAGAATACGTGGACACTTAGATTTTATGACTGCTTAAGTTTTTTTTCTTTTCTTTGCTTGGGCTTCAGGGTTGTGACACTCGGTACAGTAATCTGAATTTGAAATCCTAGAATAAAAAACAATTTTGTTCCATTGGTGTTAGTAGGTAATAGAATGTCGGTGAGCATTGGAGCAGAATTTGGCAGGGGTAGTATAATCCCCCACCCTCTAACATGGTCCCCCAATAATTGATTTTACAATGTGACCTGGGCTCTCAATAATTGTACAGTGACAGCTTAAACACACTTGTGGCATCTCTCATTATCATGTACTCTTGGATTATCAGTAGATCGCACTTTGTAGCCTCTTCAACTCTCGTTATAATTAATTTACTGTTATTAGGCTTTGTATCATAATGTATCATACAGACTAATACAGCCAGTTACTAACCAGGCAGATCTAAGTCGTGCAGTAACCAGCCATAATTGTAACACTAAATGAACCTCCCAATCAAAAAGAGCTCTAAAGCCTCTTTCTTTTGGGCTTTTCTGAAAGAAAATAGACATTTTTTTCTTGAGGTTTAATCATTTGAATCTCACTTCATCTTTGTTATACTCTAAAAGTATTGCAATTTGCTTAACTCTGTGTTCTTACTGCTTTAGATCTAAAAATGAACATTTAAAATTGTAAAGGCAACTAAAATGTTTTTATAACTTTTTTCCTGTTTGTAACTTTAATTGCAAAGTAGCATGATATAATATTCAGTAATGTTAACCAATCTTTTAATTGCATGTCAGAAAAAAAGAGTTCTTTGACCAACTGTGCACACTTTAATCTGCGTGACTAGTAATGGCTGTTTTTCACCCAAATGGTTTACAAGATGATAATATATCTAAAATACTTGAGTATGAGAATGATGCAATATATGGTAGCAGTATGAACTAACATTTTTTTCTTTTCTTTTTTTATTTTCACCTAACTCTCAGCTGTGCCTACGAAACTAACTCAAACCCACCAGAACACTTGAAAAAGAACAAAGAGCTACAAAACAAAAACACTTTGGAACAGGGGCCTGTGAAGGCAGCAGCGCACGGCACCTAACATTGTCGTCCATGAAGTTCTACTCACAATAAACAAAGCTGACATCTTGGTGTGTGGGAATTATCCAACAAATAAAACAAAAAATATTGCTGGATTTTATACAAAGGCTGCCTTCCTTAGCAAAACTGCAACCACTAACATGCCTTATATTTATAAAATTATATTATATATCTATATATGTTCTGGCAGAAATTTTTTTTGACTTCATTTGGATCATTGAGAAAGTGTGAGTTGTGTTTATTTTTTAAAATGTAATGGTCTAATTTTGAAAATGGATCAAAGTGTTTTAGAGCACTTTTTTGTGAAATTGAGGTTGAAATGAGGTCAATTGAGAACCGTCCTTGTGCCAATAATAAAAATCATGTAGAAAAAAGAAACTAAGTGCCTGACAATTTATACTCTTCAGAACTAATGTAGACTAACATTGTTTATGTATCTTTTTTGTTGTTAATGAATGTTCATTGGTGTGCAACAAGGAAACATGCTATGTCATTTATTTTTTTCATTATTGAAAAATTAATATTTTTTTTATGCCTTACACATCAAGAATTTAGATGAGATTAACAGTTTGTATTATACATATAAAACACTGTCTGTAAAGAAAATTGTATACCTCCCAATCTTTACATTTTGTACTTTCATACATACTCATAACTTTCAGTGTAGAACAAAAATAAGTGTGGCTAGAATTAATATTGAAAGGTGTACAAGTACTTAACAATTTGTGCTGCTGAAGAATCTTGGAAATATATCTTGCAAGAAAAGGCTCTAAACTTATCAATATTCATACATTGATATTATATTTTATTGATATCTTAGTTTATATTATATATATTGTAAGCATAATGTCTTAAGTTTTAATGAACAAATGAGCTTAAAATCAAATTATTATTATTATTTTTAATGAAATATGAAAAAACTTCATGAGATAATACCAATGCTATATATATATTGTCTAAAGATGCATTTCCAAGGTTTCGTTAGTTGATATGGTAGAATTGTAGCACCTCTTTGCATATTTAAAAAAATGCTGAGATTTAATTTTCTGCACAATCTTGGGTGAAGGATCCATTATTTTTGTTGATGGATCTCTCACTCTTTTGCTGAGAGCCTTTAAAGCTTTTGTGCAAGTGACTTGGTGTCCATTGCCTTGTTTACTAAGTAAGAATTCTCAGACCATATTCTTTCTCTCCTTCTGTTAGTGTGTGTGCGAGTTTTCCCTGTGTTTAACATATCATGTTCATCAAGAACAGACTTTATTTTGTAAGTATTACTTTTTTGTGCACTTGTTATTTTTTGCCAAACATGGACAGCGTTCATATCACCTTTATATAATTTTTGCATTTTGAATTATTTTTGTAGCTTCATCACTTGTTAAATATCCCCTACACGGATACTGTGGCCAATTTTACTTAAAAAAACGATGCGTTCATAAAAACACAGGGAAGAGAAGTAAAGAAATTTTTTGTGCAAAATTCAAAAAACGTCTGTTTGCACTGTACATATTTTTTTGTAGATACTAATTGTTGATGATTGTATTATAATAGTAGCTATGCAGCATTCTGTCAAAACTCCCTCTAAACTGTACATGGCTTTCCGAGAGCAATACAAGGCACTTTTGTATTCTAATATTAACCATACTTGTAACAGTGGTTGTGTTTGAATGATTTGGAGACTGTTTCTTCCATTCAGTAGTTGTAATTTTCATATGAGAAAAAAGTACTTCTACAGTTATTCAGTAACGTAACAACTAATCCATCTTTTTTTATGGTTAGGTTATTTTTTTCCTTCAAATTTACCATCCTCTGACCTGTTGTAAAATTGAGGCTTTTTAATTTTTTCTGCTTTGAAATTCAAAAGTATTTGAAAATTTATCCCTTTAAGTCAAAAAGAAATGCATTGCATGTAAACTTGAAGAGAAGCTAGCCTGTGGTTGTAATTTCATGATTGGAAAACTTTTTTTTTTTTTTTTTAGATTTTTCAAATTAATCTATATTTTGTATTAGCACTATACAAGATACAAATTTAGTTTTTTTCACGATTTAGAATTTTTTAAAAGTCATGTGTGTCATTTTTATGCTCAGTACCAGTCATAAATGTATGCCCTTAGAAGCTCTTAGAAAATTTGCTTATCATAGCAGATTAATCATTTTGGTTGAATCTCATGGGAAATGCATAGTACTTTCATCCTGATTATTATTTTTATTTCAAATTTCTTTGGTTTTTCCAGAAATTATAAATAATTTATTTTGGATAAAATGAATTATAATTGATAATAGATATGCTTAGAAACATGCTGCTTGTTAAGATCTGAAACCTGCAGTTTTGAAGTTTTGTATATAGGTTTGTTTATTACACACTGTTGGCTATTCAAATTTTTATGTTTACCACTCATGGTGCATCAGCATAATATTCTGTTGTTGCAATCTCGAAGAAGTTTTTTTGTTTTTCCTCACTTCTGATGGTAAAAATTTCCATGGAACAAAACATCACTTAACATGTGCTTTTGGAAATTCTGCAATATATATCTTACCTCAACGCTCAGAAAACAGAAAACTTCTTCCCACCAAAAGCAATAATTAACAATGTATTGTACATTACTGCTGCTGTTTTAATAATATGGATAGTTCCGCATGGTTCGCCTGTAGTTGTTAGAAATGTTCTTACAAGGTACTTAATGAATCTCAAAGTCTGATCAACTCATCCCTCCTATATAACCACTAACTCGAGCTTCCCCACCTCTTATTGGAAATACTCCCATATAGTGAGATTGACTTCATGTATGCTTCGGTAAGTTTTCTTCCTATATTTTCTGTATAATCCCTCACTGTTACATTGTATGATAGATTCCAAGTCTTTTGCCTATAGTATAAACACATATATAAACGGCAAATTAACCTTAACTGCTACTTAAAATTGCATTTGTTGTCTTTTTGCATATTATTGTACTATATTTTTTTTTCTGTTCACTAGTAATAAAGGTTTGAAAAAAGTACTCATCTTTGCAGTTAATACTAACCCTTGGATATGAATCTTTATTTTAACACTGCATCGTTTCGTACTAAATATAACCATTTATATACTTTGCTGTTGTGTTTCTGTTACTATAGTAACAATGCATGCAAAGCTCATTGGTGGAGTTTAGTTCGTCCAAAGAAATCTGGACCCAGTACAGAGGATTCACGGTGGCTCGTTAATCAAGGGTCATCAGATTTATAAGGACGAGATAGTAAGCCTGACTAAACTAATGCCTATAACAAACATTGATTTTGGATACACATTTCAAATTCTGTGGTAATTACAGCAGCATTTTTATGAACATGCAAAACCCCCATGTAGATTAAAACAGAACCTTTCGAACAAGCTTGTATTTGGAAACGTAACATAGAATGGAGGAACTATAGGTAAACTTTTTTTTATTTTTTTCCATGTATTCCAGAAATTCCTTGGCATGGTTTAACACTAATTCATAACTTTACATATATATTGACATTTCTTTGTTAGTTTTATGGCTTAATACTCAACTTCAGTATTTAATCAACATACTGTTAATCATCATGATTAACTAAACATTAATTTTACTGAGAAAAGTATACATTTCACTTTAAACCACTAGTGCCTTATAGGGTATATATGATACAAAGCAATGTGCCAAAGACTCAGTCTGCTACCAATATTACAGCCTATCAACGAACGTTTTCAGGGAGCTTGTATTTCTGTGATAAAGATTGTCGTATTAAGGTCCCAACGAAAAAAGTAACCCATTTATACTGTTCAATCATGTTTTAATTGTTGATGATTCAAGACGTTCTTGCCGGGACAACGGTAGACATTGTTGAATATTCGTATCACTTTTTTAAAACGAGATCACGTGATTCTGGAAAGCACGTGACCTTATGCTATCCATGACAACAAACGATTTCAGTATTGCTCTTTAAATCCACTTTATATTTTGTTACTGATTATTATGTAAATCATGGTGTCAGTTCGCAGGACAATGTAGCATATCTTTCATTTGATTGGCTGTGCCCTTCATAATCTTGCGAATGGATGGAACGAAAGGTTAATCAACTTAATCAAAGCTTTTCATTGGCCGGATTTATAATCATCTTTCATTGGTTGATGACGATGTACAATCATGGAGAGTGGAATCTCTGTATAAATATGTTTATATACATTTGGTCATTGAAGTTTGACCTAAATATGCCAATGGACTCGTACAAGGAGTTTTATTTTGAAATATTAAAATCATTATGTATTCATTTTATTGTTTGTTTCTTTTGTATTGCTCTGTATGAAAGATGGGAAATATGTTATCGAAGATTGGGTTAAACTGGTCTGATTTACCAGAGACAACAGTAACTTCTTCTGAATATACCTTTCTCCTATGACATATTTGCCTAAGAGTTAATCCCCTTAGCCACCATTCTTGTAGGGCAAAGAGGGGAATTTACTTAAACATTCATGCAAGAAATATAATGTTCGGGGGGGGGGGGGTAATTTTGAACTAATAATGGCTTTAATAAACGTATATTCATAAGAAAAATAGCGTTATCCTTACCTCAGTAACCAGTACATGTATAACGAATTGAACTTGGTTGAATAATGAAGGGATCTGGGATTGTTGCCCTACAATATGGCGGCTAAGGGGAATAACTCCTAGGCAAATTATGTCATGGGAAAAAAGGTATATTGGTAATTTAAATAAAAAACGTAAGAATTATAGCAAAGGAACCCTGCTTTATACACTCGAACTTTTTGACAATATGGCATTTGGTATTGGATCACTGAGCCAGATTTGTAACGAAATTTCATGGATTTTATTTTTTAATTAGATCTCTACAGAACTTGGTCAGCAACCATTTTTAGGTCACTAGTAAATCAAATATATTGCTACATGCATCATGCGTCAATCGTAAACCTTTCAATATTTTCGGCTTCTGTGAAATGACCAAACAAGTTCATTCAGTGTTCTGTGGTTCCCGCCGCTCTTTATTTAGGATGGAGCCAAAAACCATCAAAAGAAATGCTCAATCATAAAAAAAAAGTTCAATGTTGACAATCGGGAGTTCAAACAGTTAACTAGTGACATAATAATAATGAGTATTGAACCTTTTAACAAATTCGTGAAATTCCAGGCCTCAAGGCAGGGGTTATTGAGTGGATGTAGGGCTGTTGGTTGCATTGAGATACAGCCCGATCCTCGTGAATGCGGATTCTGAAAATTGGGCGGCAATGATTTACATGTACTGAGTAATTGAAAATGTGCCTGAATTTTCAGAGTACTGTACATAATGAGTATATACTCAGTAGCTCTTAAGACGTCATCATAAATATTTGCACCGCTGTAAGGAAGCGCTTTAAATAATATTTTTAAAGAAAAATTTCTCAGAGCAAAGGCTCAAGTTGAATTCATTTCATACGGCATTTTTTTTTATGCCCTAAGCAGATTTAAAGGGGCATGCACAGTTTCATCTAAAAAAAAAAATTAAGTTTTATTTTTACATTTTATGTTTATACGTTCTTAACTAAGGTATTTCTATCAATCATCAAAAATTTATATTTCAGTCCTTGAGATACAAGATGGATTTTGAGCTCCCAACCTTTGTTATGTAAAAAATGGGCTACGTTTTTGTTTTTATATGTTAAATATGCTTTATATGATCGTTCAAAGTAGTTTTTTCAATAAAGAAATTGAATCTTTATATGATTAAGACAGTTTTTAGTGATTTGCTAAATCTTATTTTTTGTTATAAACATTTATGGAGAGAAAAAAAGATATGAACTTTGTTTACATTAAAGCTGACATGAACTCTTAAAAAGACATCATTTTTTTATCCTTGTACTACTTACTACATTCCTGTACGCCTTTGTCCGCCATATTTCTTCGATTCCGCCATTTTTAATCGAAATTTTTTGGCCACCTGTACCTGCTATATAAAGCCTGGTACATTTGTTTCACTTGAGTAATTTTCTAGCCTGACTGCCGACATGTACACATCTCCGATAGCATAGTATTTAGAAATCCATAAACTGACCAAATACATGTTATAAAAATCCAACAAAAACTAGAGCTATACTGACAGTAAATTATTTTTGAGTGCATTTGCTCCAATAGAGAAAAAACCACTAACACGGAATACATTCACGCACAGAAAACACTGTTTGGATATGCACGCGTGCTGGTCGAGAAAACGCATCGAACGCAGTGATAAAAAGTAATTTACCTGAATATGTTTGTACCTAAGTACAGAAACAGGAAGATACATGCATCAGAAAATTGAAAGAAGTAATAGAATACTTCAGTTTTGTAGTGATCAATGTCTAGAAGATGAATATCATTGTTTGCTCGAATGTCCTGTTTATGAAACTTTAAGAAAAAAAATATATCAAACCATATTATTTCAGATCTCCAAATCTGTACAAGCTTACTCAGTTACTCAGCTCTCATGATGTAGGACAATTTATTCTCCAATGATGCAATGGAACAATAAGAAATAATTATGAATAATTTTATTCATATGCATATATGTGCTACAGTTATTTTTCAATAATAATGGAGAATGTGAATGTGTAGTGCATTTGTTGGTGTATGGGAGTCAGACAGATGGACACCAGGGGTTCCACGCCCCGCAGACTCTCGCTATTCGTTCTTCATATTTGAATTTGTTATACTGATGAGCCGTGTGGCTTAAAGTTATTCAATAACGAATTATATATTTTAAACTATCTTAAACGATAGAATATTTATTAGAACTAGACAATTTTCAGTTATTCTTATACCTTATGAACAGCAATTAAAATACTTTAGTTACCCCCCCCCCCTTCAGTCACGTGGTTATTTAGGGTATAAATAGTAAGGCCATGCGGTAGCACGGCACTATAAGCTTAATTGCTCGCTAGGATTTAAAGATTGTAAGAAATATGAAGGATAGTAATGCAATGGAGTGTAATGAAGTTGGGCTATACAGTTGGTGTCATAAAGTGGTTATGTATTAGAATTGAATAAAAGCACTAGCGAGCAGCGTTCCTACTTAACATGTGTTGTGTTTTATTCATTTTGCACTTCATTAATTTATATTCGGACGAACGAAATGAGGGAAAATATAAATGGAATTTATTTCTTTTTTTGGGATGCATATTTCAATAAATGGAACTCAGGGTGTATATCACTTGACTTGTGCACATCTTCGAACCGATGCAATTATCTTATTTACAGCGTTCAACGCGTTTTCTCGACATGTATAAACTGCATAAGACATCCAGATCAAAGACGCCGTTTTTTCTTCCATTCAAATGATAATAATTCAAATTGTGTTTACGGGTTTTACTGCGTTTTATTTCAAGTTTATTCTGCATAAATTGGCGCACTGTAAAAATACGTACTCGTGCATGTAATTTTTTTTCTTCCAAACTTGCATTTTCTTTCTTTTTCTTTTTGCATTTGATTCAAATCAATAATTATTCAGAAGTATGATTATTATGTTGTTTGTTGTGGTTTTGAAATGTCTTGATCAACTCATGTATTCTCAAATTCTTGACCATTGGAGATGTGCACAAGTCGATAGCCAAGCCAAAAAATCGTAACGACTGCATTGGGGTATATATATCGTTACAATAAGATTAGGTATCTATAAGAAATATGGCGGAATACGGCTATAGTTTGTATGAAGTAAGTCGTACAAAGATGAAAATGTTGCGTTTTTAAAAATTCATGTCAGCTTTAATTACGAAGAATTTCAAGTTCTGTATATCCTTTGTAAATCAAAAAATGATGACTAATTGTTCAGATTTTTTTTATCATAAGAATTTTCTTTGTTAGGAATTGTAAACAGGAAAATTGGATAAAACATCAGTTAAAACTTTAAGGTTTTTGAAGTCTAAGAAAGGTTTTGTAAACCAGAGACGTAGCAACGGGGGGGGGGGGGGGGGGGGCTGGCTCCCCACTTTTCCCCCCAACATTACCTTTACTACGGAAAATATACATGGAAAGGATGGTTCCCCCCACTTTTTACCATTGTATAGTGATATCAAGGAATTGTAGGGAAATAGGATTTTCGAGTTTGGGCTACTTTTTTATTTTTCCCTTAGAGAAAGCGAATTTTTATTTTGAATGTAGCCTAATGGACATCAATGCTTCAGAGCATGTTATGATAAAAGAACTCTGGCAATGATAGCACGAGCGTGGATAGCTTTACCCCCCCCCTTAAATATACTGACACGCAAAAGAAACGCAACATCCTACTTTAGGGGAAAATAATTATGTAAAGTAAAGAATTTTGTATCTTAAAATTATGGATATCTTCAATTTGGTAAACATCGGTATTTTAACGGTTGAACGATTTTCATACCATAACCGGAAGTCAAGTTTGAGTCTGCTTAACAGAAATAAAAAATTCCATGTTTAACAAAACATTTGGCAATATTGTGGAGTTTTAAGGGTTTATACTGTTCATCACAAGTAATGCAGCAATATTTCAAAAAATAAACTCTCCTTTCGTTTCTCGTAACGATGCCAAGGTTTCTTGAAAATGGCTTAAGTACGCATTTACATTGCTCTAGCTGGAAAATTTCAATGTAAAGGTGATGGAGAGTTGCTGATGCAAAAAATCACTACATTACGCCTCAACAGGGTCTTACGTATCATATGCATTAAGGACAGTCCTTGTACCGGAAGTCCAAGAATGGCTTCACTGCACTGCGACCTAATCATCTGAGAAATAGGCATTTAAAAATGGCAAAGAATAATTCCTTCGCTCAGATCTCGACATTGATGAACCTATTGTATCGTAGAAATCAAGCTGCAATTGTTATTTAGGGCAGTCTTGGTCGTTTTACTTGAATGGCAGGGAGAGGGATGTTTTAACGGAGTTTTATGAAGAGACTTACTTTTACGGTTGACGACTGACTTTTACAATTTAAACACATACAAACTCCATATAGTAAAATGTAAAAGTCAGCTGTCAAATGTAAAAGTAAGTCTCTTCATAAAACTCCAACAGTCATATGTTACTTAGTAAAGTAAAAAGATAAACATTAAAGATTTTTATCAAATCTCTGATGTTCTGAAAAGTGAGTTTAGCCTTACTGTATTCATTTTTTAAAATCATTAGAAAAAAATCAAACACTTGTAGATTACTGCTTGTTGCTTTCCTTTTGCGTTTCAGTATACATAAAATACTAAAAAGGCAAAAAATTGTCATTTGCCGGATATACTGGTATTTAACACCCTTCAAATGTTATTTTCATACGCACATGATAAAACAACAGGTTCACAATATTTTGTCAAAATAATAAAATTATCCTTTTCTTTTGCTACTTATGCCTTCTCATGCAACCGTTGACCGATCCAGGATCTATCATCCCGCCATGCGGGAGGTTTAGCTGGAACACCTAATGTCCCAAGTGGACGTCCTCCAATACGTATTCCAGTAGACGGGATCTTTACAAGCGGTGAAGAAAACGGATCGAGGAAAGAAGATTTGGATTTCTTCGACTTCTCATCCCACTCGTGTTGCAATGTTAACAAAAGATTTTTTAAGAACAGCGAATCTTTACATTCATTTTCCCACTCATTTTTAAGGATTGAACGTAAATTTTCAATGTTTGAAAATTGTGTTTCATGTTCGTCTTCGAGAAGTTCCCACACACCCTTCCACTCCTCTTTATGCACGTCCCGGTCAATTACAGCCCAAGTACTCGGATATTTAACAAGTCCAAGCTTCCATTGTGATATAGAATCAACTTCTGCTGGTCCGCCACGTTTCAGAATTTTCTTTTCCACTTTGTAATCTTTGTCTTCTTGAAATTTGCTACTGCTTTTGTCATTACTTTTCTCAACATTAAGACGAGCTCCTCCAAAACACCAACTGGTTATACCTGATCCTCCAGCCTGCAGTGCCTCTTTACAAAGCTTTACCGAGTCTCCTTTGGTCATAGTAGATTCACTTCGACAAACGACAGACCTCATATAGCATCCACCAAAGTGATAAGTTCCCGCAAAGTAATGGGAACCATAGTTTTCAAAAAACTCCCTGCACAGAGTAGACCTATTTTCTCCGGTGAGCTTTTTCTCCAGGCTTTTTAATTCTTCTAAAGCATTGCTTGAGATGAAATGGGGCACATTATCTAGACAGAATGAAGCAACTGGAACAAAAACGGTTTCTTTGATTTCAGTATACCCCTTGTGGGATTCGCCTCTTCTGGTCTCGTCTTCAGTATTCTTGATGGAGTAACTTATGTCCCCAGTAAATGTTCCGATCAGTCCACCAGAGGCAGCTGCACTCAATCCCCAGTGATCCACAACATGATCATGAAAAGCAGATTTCTCTTCATTGAAAAACTCTTCATACATAAAAGTCTCTGCAATTCTAGGGGCCAAAATTTCTACTTTGTCAGGGATCGCGATCAACCGTTTCCTTTGGACAACACGTTTCCAGGCATTTTCCTCGATATTATATCCTCCTAATATCTGGCCAGCAGATATTTTGTTCACTATTTCAAAAGACGACAATTTTTCTCGAAAAGCAATCTCGGTATCTAAAAATTCAGTCTTTGTCAGTTCTTTGTGCAGGTCCCTCTGTCCTGGAGAAGTTTCAAGCTTGATATTCATTTTAACCAGCCTGTCCTCTTCTTCGGTGACTTTTTCGATTTCCTTAAGTAATTCCTTGACATGATTGTCAGTTTTCGCAATCTCCTCCCGCCTTTCCTCTCTGGTTGGTTCAAATATTGCTGGAAAACAGGATAATAAGGCATTTTCTTCCCACCTGTACCTTTTCATGTGATTTAATTGATTGAAGTCTCTTCTTCTGGCATGTTTTAGTTGCTTTCCATTTGTTATACCAATATCTTTGAACCTTTTTAGCCAGAATTCTTGATCTAGACCATTATCAGCCAAAATCTCACTCAAATCATTCTCTCTCATAGCCTCCTTCGTCATTTTTTCTTCATACATTTTTTTCACCTTCACCTTCAGTTTGTTCCAACAGCATTTGATAGAAAATCTTTAAACTGAGCTAATAATTGATTAGGAGATGTGCAGCGGTTATTAAGTTAGGGTTATAATCCATGTATAATCATTAATTTCCTTTTTCACCAGGGATATCCAACAAGATTTATAAAAACGTCGCATTTTTTATTATGTACTTAAACATGTTAAAACATCACAAAAGTAGTCTTATGTTTATCAAAGTGCATTCACTTTCCGGATACAGAGTATTGTGTGAACGAAACACTTGTCTCTCCTTCAAAAATAATTGTTAGTTGGAAAAACCCACCTTTCATTTTCCAAAAAAAAATGATAATAGTAACAACTTTTTTAAAACTCAACTTAACTCTTCTGAATAATTCATTATAACATCTTTTATTTGAAAGTTTCAAACAAATAACTTTTTTCAGATTTTTAATCAAGAACTGTCACTTCCTTATATCAAACATCAGATTACATCAAATAACATGGCTTTCTTAAGACTGTATTCATGCGGTTAAGTCAAAGATAAGAGTTGGTTAACACCACCACCACTTTCTAATACGTTGTAACGTTTAGCATACGTTAAGATGCAATGCCCTGTCTTCTCATGCTTTACTACAGCAACTCAAGCTTAATTCAAGCCATTCTGTCTTAAAAGCTTTAATCGATAAAGGATAGAATTTTCTCTTTAGCTTCTAAGTTGAGGGAGCAGATATAACATTCTTCATCTCCGTAGATAATATTAGTGAAGTCCTGAAAGCAGTCATCTGGATTATGTTTTAGTACTGGCCCAGGAGGGGTTCCCTTCCTGCAGTTGTGGATTACAACAAGCATGTTGTTACAACCTAAGGGGAAAAATATGCTTTGCTCAAAGATAAAAGCTTCAAAATGCAATAAATACGCTCTAGCAGTGTTCGACTTTAACGCGTTTAATACATAAGTAGTATCTATATATAACATGTGTAAAGTCTTGCCTTTTGGTATTATCTTCATAATAGCTGAAATGTCATCCATTAGACGGGACAATGTGAAGCAGAGAATCAGGCAGCTGAACCCTTTCTCTACAGGATCTTCTCCAGCCACCCAAATAGGATCTATCCCCACCAAGTATTTCTCAATGAAAGCAGAGAACGCTTTTCTTGACAAAGCCGTAGAGAACTTGATGTAAATACGTTTCTTGTTAGGTAGCGCACATGTTGGTTGAAATACAAGATCAATCGATTCGCTTTCCTCCTTAACTGAAAATTTGTTTCGAATATCTTTCGATTGTTTTTGTCTTTGATCGCCGCAATTTGTACTTTCTAAAATAAAGACACATAATATCAAAACATTTAAACTTACACATCTTGTTTTTGGAACTAGTACTACTTTGAAAGAAAATAGCAAAATCGAGAGTCATAAAATGAAATGGAGGTTATCCATGCACTAAATTGTAATATCGTTAAAAATACTTTTGTTCTCGAAATACTAGTTCAGAAATGTTCTCAGCGATCTTCGTATCATGGATAATCAAATCAGACGGTGTTTGATCTATATAGTTGGTCTTTACTAAAATGTCGGTTCAGGAATGTGAGTCTCATTAAATAAGGGATTTTGTTTAAAAAATATCTACCCTAGCATATGCTTAATGGCAAACCACTAAACAAACATTAATATTACAAAATTTCATTTTCAACTATAAATACTGAAAACATTTTTATTTACCAAATGTATTTCTGTCGCTTCTACTATAATCTGAAATAGAAGGAAAAAAAGAAATTTATAATGAAGTTTTGCATAAAAAAGAGTATCTATGTAACATACATGTATTAGAAAATAAGAAAATTGAATTTACCTCCTAAAACAAAGCCACTGATCATCCAACATGCTCTGTAGGTGCTGTCTGGAAAACTGACAACTGTAATGTACTTAATTCTCAAATCTTCGTAGTATGGAACGAATTCAAATTCTGCATTATCTCCGACCATTATAACCATGCATGAAATATGAAATGAAATAACATTAAATAAGCAAATGCTTAATACACTGAAAAGCATAGATTAGATATTGAGACACTAAGTTGTTCAAAAAATAAACTGTTCATTCGAGGCAAAATCATATTTTATGTTCGAGTACTCTGTAATTTTTCAAAAGATGAAACAGCGCAACATTTTAATCAGTTCATCGTAGTCTATATATAAATGGAAGATACTTTGTTTATCATATTCTTTATTTGCCTTACAACATCGTTGTCTAGATCATGATTAACATTTTTACCCTCTTAATATATACCAGTATATTTAATTAAGGCGAAAACAACCCAAACTGCTTTAATTTTGTTCTTTTTGATGCAGAAAATATTTACCGTCTTTTTCTGCTTTTGGCAACTGTATGTTACATATTGACTCTATGATGTCAAATTTTTCTTGCTCTGGTGAAATCACAACTTTGCAAAATACGATCCATATGTTATTAAGAGTATCCTGAGCGTTCACACAATGCACATTTAATTTTACATCTGTTCCTTTCTTTTCCAATTTCATATTTTCCAGCATCGAAATTGCGCTATTCTTCCATTTCTGTACGTCTTTTGAGAAAATGATATCCACATCCAATTTTTCTTCATATATGAAAAAATCAAACTATTATTGATTTTATTTACATCTATTTTAGTTTATATCGTCTATTTGGCCTGACGTTTCTATCAAAATATGCTCAATTTAAAGCATTTTCAAAAGAAAAACATGTCTTATCGTCTATACTTTACTCTGAAAAAATTAAATTGTAACCTGGATTGGGACAGTTTACGCTTTGAAAAATGCCAAAAATAATTATATTTAAAAATATCGTATCTTAAAGATTTCCTTTTTTCTTTCTTCTATGATTATATTTTCTTACTTAATTATGTATAAATGAAAAAGGTTATCATAAGGAACATACAAATCTATAAACAGGACATAAACAAAGATCTGCGGAAATTTAAGTTGCGAGGCCAGGTGCCTCAGAGAAGAAAGTTTCCCAACTGACAGGTGACACACGTCATTAGCGTTATTTTCTAATGCATTCTAACACATTCAGTAGGTTTTTTTCATTAATATTCTATAACAATTATTTTGCTATTAGACAGACTTTGCAAAATGAGATACAAGAACATGTTTTATTTCATTATTTACTTTACAGAGGTCAAGGCTGTAACGACTGTATGTTTCTGACACCTTATATTATTTGATGTAAAAATCCGAACATTGTTAAAATTGTAATAGTTTGTTGAAATGAACTTAAAATGAAGTTTGTTCTAAAACCAGCACTCATTTTGATTCAAGACTGACATGGAGACAACATTGAAGCGGATACAGAAATATAGGACATTTCCTGAATTTTCTCAATTCTGGTGGAATTCGTCATACTTTTCTCTTTGGGCAACATAGAGCACAATATTGTGTTTCTGAGATTTTTAAACATTAAATGAATCTGATACTAGTGTGTAAAATATATAAATTTGGTAGATTATCAAGATTATGCTCTTAGTTTTCTGAGACAAAATGTGCTGTAAAATCGATGAAAATAATACATGTACTTAAGTCTGCTGCAAATACAATTCCATTATAATATTTACATATTTTATTTCAGGAAAAAAAATTAAAAATCATTAAATCTATGAACTGTTGTATACGTCTTACCATAGGTAAAAGGCCGAGGTAAAATACTGCCCATATTTTAAGTTGCGCAATATGCTTGGATTAATAAATCTAAATTAAAACAAAAAATATATAAGTCAGTTGCAGATGAATTTAGCATCATAAATCTTAGGAATGGCAAGCAATAACCGAATTTGAACTTTCATTTACAATGATATATATATTGTATATCATACATTGGTTTTGGCAGTGATCATTTTGAGTACCGGTATTTTCGGATTTTAGAATTTTAATGCTTTCATTTTTTTGTTACTTATAATATTGTACCTAAATATTTAGGATGTGTGAATACTGTGATTTTAATGTCATTGTACCAGTCTCAGAGAAGCTGCAGAGCTTGCCAAATGAAAATGAAAAAAAAACTTTTCTAGTTAACGTATATGATGTAATGCAATTTTGGACAGAATTCCTCTTCAAATTTTGTAAAATGTTTGTCACAAAATTAATGTACTATATCTTAGATTACCAGTTGCATTGATGACTTGCTGGTCATAATACATGTATAGTTCTAAACCCTCAGTCCTCATGCACAAGTCAAGGTAAAGTACTTAGTAATGTAGATAGGTATAATTCTAAGGACAAAAATATTGAAGCTTTTTTTCACTATGATGTCTAGACAGGAAATTGTATACATAATGAAATCTTCTCAGGCACTTGAGCGGATACGAGAATGCTAAGTGCATAAAACATAAAACATGCACATGGCTGCATTTTTCAAAAATTACATTTTGTTAATGCATATATAAGTATTCTGGAAAGAAACGGCAGAGAAATAAAATAGCTGGGTTTTTATACTCATATAAAGTCATATTTGTTTCATTTCTCAAACATAAAGACAATTTACTGATCTCGAGGAATACATGTAGCTGAACAGTTTTGTTATATATCTTGCCGTTTCGGATGAAAGACTAAGATAATATCCCATGTCTTTTTCCATATACCGGTATTCACCTTGTTGTCAGGACTTTTGTAGTCAATAACTTAAGACAGACAAATGTGTACTAATGAGTAATGAAATAAGTACTCGTTTGTTATCAATGTAACAAAAACATGTTTAAGATAAATGCATCAAACCCATAGTTAATAATTTGCTGCAAATGTGAATATATCTTAATTATAAACTAGAGGCTCTGTGAGCAATGAGCTCATTAATTGATACCCCCACATCCCATATGAATATAATGGCAGTGTCCATGTTTTGCTCAGGAAAATCCAAAATATATATAAGATCAAAAAGTTAAATAGAAGGTGCACAATGACAATCTGTTATAAAGATTCTGTGAAAGTGTCATTAAATTTCCTTCAGTGGTATGAGAGGAGTTGCGGATAAGAGATGGGTACCCTAAAGCGTAACAGACGGACGGACAGACTTACCGATTACTATATACCCTCCCGCTTTTCAAGCGGGGGGTATAATAAAAAGGTCAAACTGAGAGTAACTAACAGCTGGATGCTCGGCACTAGAAATGACCAAGACAGAATGATCCACTTTTGATAGTGATGGTTTGAGATAAGTACCATTAATGATTTGATTGTCTAAAATTTCTAAGTAGTAAAAAAAGAGAATATCTCTGTTTTTGATTTGAAATAAAATATTCCATTTTTTTTAAATTATTAACTTTATCAATATTTAGTTAACATTTAATACTCACCTACTAAAACACACTTCATATACTTCACATATTCAGAGATCCCACCGGCATTTCTATCATCTTATACGCATGCACGCCATGTTTACGTGTTTAATATATCTTGTCACACGAGCAACGACCATAATAGAATTCAAGGACACTCGAAGGGTAAGTATAATGATTAAAACAATTCATCTGTTTTATTAAGATTTTTTTCGTATAATGTAGCTTTCTTTTCATTCTTTTTACTTATATGCACCATTAATTTTTCGGGGTTTTTTTGCAAGAGAAAAAATGGGAAATGGAGAAAGCCAAGGTGTGTAACTGATGATGTTTTCTAAAATAAAATGTAAGATTATGAAGAAATTACATTGTCGTAAAACAAGATGGAAATTGTCATCAATCAAAAATTCTTCTCTTGTAGCTCTGGAGCAAGAAAAGGGTAATGTATACTATTTATTCATATGTAATGTTTTAACAGGTCCTCGAAGATGAGAAGATCGCAAATCCTTTCTTAAGTGGGTGCAAAATATTCAAATGTGTTGCAGTCTTAATTATAGTTTTGACAATATCATCTTATACGACAATACTCAAGATGGAATCCTAAACAAATACTTTTTTATAACAAAGCTGAACACGACTCGAATAAATCGACATACGCCATTTTCGATATTATCTATAATACATCAACACCAGGGTACTGTAAAATCACATACGGGTATATTTTGGTGGGGTCAAATTTTCGTAGTTTGAGGAAAATTTCTTGGTTCGTGGGGAATTGATTTCGTTGATGAAGAATTAATGAGAACTTATGTATGTAACATTTTACATTTCGTGGTAGACCAGAATCATGGATCTCGTCATACCTCCAAAATCCGTCCTCAATTCAATTTATAAATAATGGACAAACAATTAGTATGAAAAGCGTCAGTCACCATTTGACTCAATGATAAATTTTTATTTGCTGACAAGGTCATTGTATCGACCATAGAACTTACAAAATAATTCTTTAAACCGTGACTGCTGATATTCTTGTTTCGTCAACTTGTTTGTCAATAATTTACATCATTTTTCTGGACATTCCAATCAAATCTTTAAAGTATTTATTTCTTAGAATTCGTGAACTTCTAGCACAAATAAGGTTAATACAGACTTTGAATTTTGATGTTTTATTTGAAAATTGAGTTAGTGATTGTCTTTATTTGTATGCTGAGAAATAAACTGCATAAACATAGTGATTTTATGTTTATCAGATAGAACAAGACAACGTGAAAGAGAAATAAAAAGACTTGAAGGTAAAGGTTTCAAATTGAAAAAAATATATATAAAATACAAATGTATGAATTGTGAACAGATGATTGATCATACAGAATATCCCATTTTTTTTTCAATTAATTTTAACAAATGGTAATTGAAAACATACTCCAGTAGTCTAAATGATTTATAAACAAAGGTACCATGTTAATTTTGTATTCTTGTGAAACTGTCAATATCTTTTCAGATAAACTAGCAAAACAGATAGAGGAAGGTAAATGATTTTTAATTTCATTTAACGGTGTCTAGGAAGTGTATGTTTATATAATATATACATAAATAGCAAAATAATTACACCGTTTCTCTTTTCAATTAACTAATACTAGTACTTTGTGTAGTATTGTAAAACATGCAAAGATATAGTATGATCGTTGAACATAATAGGAGCATTTTTGATGTCAAATAATTTCTTTCACAAACTGTTAATATTGTTTTACGGTCAAAGGCATAAAGCATTTTAAAATATAAATGAATTTTAATTTTGAGGTCCTGCTACATAGAAGGAATTGTCGATTGATAATTTATATTCATTTATTTTTTTAATATATAGAATCTGCAATTCTGTTTATTTGGTGCCGATTATTGCCAGTATGACATTGGAATTTTGTTGTTGTTGCAGATTTGTACTTAACTAATTAAATGACAGGCAATATAATCTTTTATCAACTTCTGTTGTTCATATTTGCGATGGAATTTTTGTTATTAGCTTTGATTCAAGCAAAATTGAATTATTGTCGTTCTGTACAATAATGATTTCTCATATAAAAACTTTATATTAGGTTGTACAGAAATATTTCTTTTGAAACATTTTTAAACTTTATTTTGGGCTTGTTAGTAATAAGGGTTAAAATTACATACAAATTAATCATAGTAGCACATTTAACCAGCAAATGAAATTCTCAAAGATACAGCTCATATTGCTTTGAATATTGAGGAATTTTGTTGGTGAAAGTACATGGATATGTATCGATTGTGCAACATGTGCAAAATTTGCGTTTTTAAAATTCTGGATTTAGTACACTTTTATCATATATTGGTTTTTCTACTGTAACAACAATTAAAGACTTCTAATGATTACACTTTTTAATGGATTTTATGTAAACTTCAAAACTATGTTTAATATTATTAATAGATAGAATACAATGCCACGGAAGGTGTGGAGCTATATTTTAGTTTGTCCTGAATATACGTGTGAAAATGATGATTTTTATGCTAAATGTAAAATGTCATACAAATTATCTCAATGTACATGTATATCAACATATCATTTCATGCATTATTAGATAATGATATTCAATAATAATTAGATATGGAAACTATATTTATTGATGAATGTAGGTAAGTGTTATACAAGATATATGACTGTTTAAAAATAATGAAAATACCCTGCTCTGCCTTTTGTTTATAACTAGAAGTCTGTGAGCCAATGCACGCACAAAAATTATTTATCAAAATAATAACTGAAAATGTATATAGTATTCCTTTTTTCCTTTACATAACCCACAGAAAAAGAGCACGAAGGTAAGATTTTTTTTAAAAATATCTTTAATCAAATTTGTTTGAATGATGTACTGACCTGATAAGAAAAACAATGTAACTTAAGATCTTAAATAGAAACTAAAGCAATTTGGCTACTTGACAGTGAATTATAAAATTTTGACAAAGTATGAATTAAAGTATTTGGCACTTATCAACTCCTGGGTGAATATTGACTTCACTTTTATCGTACTTGGGGATTCTTGGAAAGGGGTATAGTATCGGAATATTTAAATCTTCTTAGATATTCTTCTTTTAAAGCAAGTTTATTAAGTGCAAAGTTTATTAGTAAAGCACAACGTTGCAGGACGATTTAGTTAATTTTAATTTTGGTAAAAAGAAATGTTTTCAGTTATTTTTGTTAGGTTGAAAATATTTTAGGTGGTTATTTGAAAAGTATTACAACTCTTTATTATTTTTATGTTAATTGTTTAACTAAAATAATTAACTGTTATTATATATTTTTATATAATATACTGTATTTGAAATTTTCATTTATATTTTAATTCATTTTGATTTTTAGCCCAAGATCGGGAAAGGGGTAAGTAATCTGAATATAAAACAGATATGAAATAATAATCATTTTATAGATGGTTTTTAAATTTAAAAAAAAAGATTAATTTATTCAATATACTACATATGATTTCAAACCTAGACCTTTTCAACAAATACTAAATTAATATACATGTGTTTACTGTCCAATGAAGTATTTTATAATGTATATGTAATCCAATTTTACCTTAAATGTGATTGAAATAAAAGGAAGGATTCATACTTAGAGTATTCTGATTGTAGGTAAGGAGAGGGAGTAATAAAATAGGATTGGAAATAATTAGATATCTCAAAGAGTATGTAAATTTCATAGAAACTCATTCAAACTTTTACAGATCTCTGGATTCAAAAGCAGGCAGAGGAATACATAGGTAAGTTACAACGCGGTAAACCATTTTGCATTCTTACTTAATTTTGTTTTGCGCGAAAAAATATTTCAAAGTGAAATTAACCAATTAAGTCTGCAAATAAAAATCAAAGATTATGTGCTTTCACAGCCCAGCACATTGAAGAACGGGAGAGAAAAAGTAAGTATGTTTATCTTCGAGATCAGATTGGGGGGGGGGGGAGTTAGTATCAAGGCAATGTTTTAATGAGACTGTTACAATAGTGTATTTTATTGGATTACAAACCATATAATACGTTTGATTTTTACATAAAATGTTTGCTTTTATATGTTTTAGGAGCGGACGAAAACTTGCAGAAATATTTAGGTACCTTTTCTAAAAGATCAATTTGCAAAATCTTTCGCAAAATTAATTTCACGAATCTCCATTTTCGTATAAAACATTTGTTGTTTCAGAGCCACTCAAGAAGCCGTGGAGAATGATCTCGACAGAAGATGGTGATCCGTGGACTCCACAGGTCCGTGTGAAATATTTTATCACATTATATACACACCACGTTAAAAACTTCAATCTGTCAATAGTACATGTACCTATTATTTCTCTGTAGAGAAGTGGACAGGCTTTCACTTGTATGTGAAAGCCTGTCATTTTCTCTACGGATAATAATGTACCTAAACTTGTATATGATTGTGGTTTTTTTCATATATGCTGATAATTACGTTTATTATTAATTTTGAATTCCATAAAGGATATAATGGGGTCTTAACTAATTTTTATCTGTCTAATTTATTTTTTTTTAATTTAAGTTCGATGTTATGGGCAATTTGGAAAGACATTTTGACTTCTATTAGCAAAGTAAATATAATTTAATAGATTTATAAAAGAAGTTGTTTATGATTACAAAATTAGTCCGAAACAAATGGTATGGTTTTATTCACTTATTTCCAAATTCATATGATACAAGTAACAACGGGAACAATGACATGATGTTCATTCCATTTCTTGCAAATTTTAGCATACCGGTATTCTGATTTGTGTTTTATCTTAATCACATATGCAATCGAATTTGTTCTAAATGTAATTAACTAATGCAATTTGGCGTTAAAGGAATAGAAAATGTATTTTAAACCTAGGAAAGTGAATAAACTTGCAATGCAGTGGTGGCTATTATTCTTAAGTCAATGCCAGAATTTCATCGCAATTTCTTACGGCAATGTGTTTAATGTCGGCCAATGCAGGTTGCACAATTATCAAAAGGGCCAATGCAGGTTGCACAACTATCAAAAGGGCCAATACAGGGAATGTGAATCGCTCTTTCTTTATCCTTTTCCCTCTCTCTTTCTATCTATGGTCACTCGGGCATTTCAAGGCTCTTAAGGGCCAATACAGGCATTGGCTGACTCTCTCGCGCTCTCAAGAGAGTCCGTCAATGTCTGCATTATCTAGAGAGTCGGCCAATGCCTACATTGGACCTTGAGAGAGTCAGCCAATGCAGGCATTGGCCGACTGCACATCAGTCAGTCAATTCAGGCATTGGCCAACTGCGCAGTCAGTTAATGCAGGCATAGGCCAACTGCGCAGTCAGTTAATGCAGGCATTGGCCGACTGCACATCAATCTGTCAATGCAGGCATTGGCCGACTTCACATCAGTAAATCAATGCAATATTTTATCACATTATATACACACCACGTCAAAAAGACCGTCAAAAACTTCAATTCATTCAATAGTACATGTACCTTTTATTCTCTGTATGTGAAAGCCTGTCATCTTCTCTAAAGAGAATAATGTACCAATATGATTGTGTTTTCCCTTGTCTGCTGATAATCACGTTTGTTATTATTTTTTTTTTAATTGTGAATGCCTGCATTGACTGAAAGATGCTTGCATTGACTGACTGATGTAGGTTGGCCAATGCCTGCATTGACTGACTGTGCAGTATATTGATAGACATTATAATGCACAATACCTGACAGAGCTGCATATTACTGGTAATCCTGCATTGGGGAATTGGAAAATGTAAATTATCTGCATTCGGATAAAGCTGCAAAAATTTAGTAGCATAGCAACAATGCAGGTAAGGAGATGTAAAATGGAAAAATAATTCTAATGAAAACATCTCCATCTGGAATTTCAGTATTTTACTTTTACTAATTTAACTTTATTTTGCTCAACTTTGAAAAGCAAAATTTTGTCAATTCAAATATGTGCTTCAGCATAGGTTTTTGTAAGGTGATGCACGAGTCATTTATAAACAAAGCTTAAAATGGTAAATGTTCGGTTCATAGAAATATAGTCAGAGCTCTTGAACTGGTTACTAATGCCTTTTTATTTTAGTATATATTTCTAGTTCTTCATAATCTTAAATACTGTATGTTGTACTGTGTTGTTTATGTTATATATTTATTGGTTTTTTTTTTTTCATCATTTTGTTATAAAGTTCAAAGAACAACTCCTGGAAAAAATTGTAAAACTGAAGCCAGCTGCAGAGATCAACTACTTCAATATTTTGCTTCTTGGTCAAGCTGCATCTGGAAAATCGTCTTTTTTCAATACATGTGCCACTGCAATAGAGGATAGTAATAGACTCAAAACCCTCAGTCAGGTTTATCAGAAGGCTTCTAAAAGTGTGACTACATCGGTAAGCAAATATTTTGACAGGAATCAAATAAATAATAAAATTTGAATTAGAAAATGCAAACTATGTGTTTTTATTCGCATTTTCTTGAAAATATATTTAAAATTTACAAATTTTACCTTACATTATATAATATGATTGACTTTAAAGATGAAGTCTGAAGAATAATCGAGGGTAAAAACGCGTTACATTGAGAATTTAGATCTTCTATACATTTTTGTGAGCATTTTCAATTAGTCATTGCCTGATTTTCAGAACCTGAGGATTGGAGTACCTGAATTAATGTTGAATACATGTATAAAGATACTGTAACCCAACTTTTATTCACGACGACTTTATTTCGCGATTTACCGAGGATAAACTAGTTTGTGACGATTTATTTTCGCTATCAAGCCTATTTTAGCTCTGTTGTTTATAGGCTCATAGACCTTAAGGACCAGTTCGCGGCGATAAATATTCGCGATGACGAAGCTCTCGCGAACATCGCGAAAATTTCTCGCACGCGCATAAAAGTTGGTTTACAGTATGCGACTTAAAACTGAACAAGACTCATATAAATAAGGCATACGCCATTTTCGATATTATTATCTACTAAATCAGCACCGGGATATATCCTTCACATTCGTAACATATGGCTGCTTTATTGTCATATATTTCCATTTCTAATTTTAACTGTTTGAAAGTTTAGGGAATTTATTTCTCGATAATTCTGTCGAAATGTAAATTAGGCAGGTCGATAAGTCAGCAGCTAAGGAGGCATAATATGCATGCAAATCTCGTGCCTTTGTGTTTGATGTCAGTGTGCGAGAACTATTGAAATTGGTGTGGAAGTCCTCGTGTAATTTAAATCAATTAGTCTACATTTTTAATGTCTAAGTCTACAGTTTTATTTCACAATGAAATGGAAATATAAGGAATCACTGTCTAGTTTTAAATGACATCAACAATAGTGGAAACATTAATTTTAGCAAACCGGCTTCGTCTGTTATGCAAATTTGTGTTGTTGATTTGTATATTGTAAATGTATGTGAGCTTGGAATGGCGACTCGCGCTCGTGCTTGTTACTTCAGTATCTTACATTACCTTTGTTAACATTTTATTGCAGATAAATGTACATGTATTTGTGTTTATGTGTAAATTGTACTGACGTATGTAACTGTTGAACTTCTAATAATTTATTGTATTTTACTCTCCTGTATTAGAAGAGTTACTTTTTTGTTATTACCGAGTGCTGTGTATCTTTTTACTCTTTTGTCTAGATGTCAGTGTTACATCTCCCTGACAATTGTACCAATGTACATCGGTGATGGCCGATTACACTAAACACTAACCAATTGAGCGTTTATAAATAGGGGACCTCAGATATAGCGAGTAAACCATCGAAAATGGCGGATATATTCCTTTTACGAATCATGTTCAGCTTCAAAGTAGCCTTTGTAGACTATGTTGTTAATTCTAGATCTTATTATATCCTTAAAGTTGATAATTTTATAGCTACTAGTATATGGTACATCTGACCAAAATTAACTCTTTGTAATGAAATATTCTCTGTATAAGCTTGATGAATACAAACATTTTCCTGTGATGCTTTAGCTGGAAGTTTTCCCGCTTCATACTAGAGACGGACAGATTCTACCACTTCGGTTGTTTGATTGTAGGGGACTCAATGTAGAACACGGTGTACCCACGGAAGACATTATGCTGATTGTTCAGGGACACGTACGTAACGGATATGAGGTATATATCTGGCTACAGTTCCTTGCATATTGCTAACATATTAATTGTGTTTTTTATTATCCCTCGGTATATGTGAATTTACATATTTTTGCATAAACACAGGATCGACAAATCCCCTAAATTAAAGTTTGTAATACTTACAATGTATAGAGTCGTTTTACAGTTTCAAAGTTCTGTGTTCTTTCTTGAATTTATATAGTTCTGAGCTGAGAGCTGGAGAAAAAATGACTAAACATGATGAGACTCTTCAATGTTAGAGACAATATTTATAATTAAAGTGTATAAAATTATTGATGAAAACATATCAAATAGTTTTAAAATTAATTTTCAGATTAATCCAGAAGTTTCCATCAAGAAGGAAAACCCCAAATATAGAGAACATGCGGGGCTTAAGGACCGCATGCATTGTGTGGTGTATGTCACTAACGCTGAGAATCCAACAGAACAACTGACCGATCCGAAAACGGAGGAACAGCTTAGATATGTCCGGGAATCGATCACCTCTGACCGTGAGACCAATAAAATAGCTTTATTTCATATACATATCGATTGATTGATCGATTGTATGTTGTTTTATAGTTACCTTTCGTTTTAGAATTTTTATAAAGAGACATCAATATGTACCAGTGAAGGGCATCAATTTATAGACCTAAATTTACTTATGGGTCATTGAGCAGTGAGGGGTCTGTATCGTGCCTTACGCTTGTCGTGACAGAAACCTGGAGTTTTAACGTCCACTTCAATTAAAGGACCCGCAACTTTCACCTAATTCAAAGAGCCAGGCGATCAGCAAAATTGCAACCCAATTTTTCTTGACTTCTTCAGTCGCAGTCGGGGTTCGAACCTATCCAATACATATTGAGATAACAGAAATTAAATGACATTACACTTGAAATTGAAAAAAGAGGTCTATGGGCCAAATCACTCACTTGAGCACCTTTATCAGATAAAATCAGAGAAGTACAATGTTCTGAAAAGTTTGAATATAAAAGTGTCTAATTGTGTGTTTTAAATGAGCTAAGTAATTAAGTTTAATTCAATTTCGCAGACATGATTGCATTAATTGGTAATGCATTCTGGCAGTCACTGTTTCAATGTTTTTATTTCCATTTTACTTGCAGATGTCCCACAAGTAGTCCTCTTCAATAAGATCGACAAACTCCGTATTTCCAACAGAGATGATTTGGGTGATGTTTTTAGAAGTCAGAGCGTGAGAGATGCATGTTATAAGGCGGCAGAATACATGCAGATTCCACTGATGAATGTTCTACCCATGTCCAACTACCACGAGGAAAATCTGCCAACTCTGGTGAAAAATATTTTGGCGCTCTTTTATTTATTGACCATGATGCAGAGAGCAAACGATTTTGTAGCAAACAGTGCTAGAGGGAATGTTCCAGAGGACTTTTATGATTAAATGTATACTGTTAATAATTATTTCTTCTGAGGGGATTTGTGTCATTTGACAAACCAAATATGTAATATAAAGGATGACTGCACTTAACGCCGGTTTTTGGGTCTTTTTCAATCTCTGTTGTCACATTTATTTTTGTTTTTATTTTGTCAGAATCATTTGTGTTAGAGTTTGGTCTATTTAAGAAATAAGGTAATTTTTGATTTCGGGATATAAAAGACGTCACACACAATAAACGAAGGGCTTGTGATGAAAATCGTGGACAAGTAAACATCACTATTTATAGCTGAAAGATGTTTTAAAATGATACCTTATTACTTATATTTACATTTGTGACTTATTCATACTTTATATTTACCTGATTGTGACTTTAAGCGTGTGAAATGCGTTATTTTTCAAACTCAACGGCAAGTATGTAATCCACTGAACGCGCGTCGACCCTTTATGACGTCACTGAGAAATTACGTCAAACGATTATCCATACGCACATCTATGACCTCTTGACCCCGTACCTGTATTCATACAGTTATAGATACGCATTCCTTTTGGTAGTGTTATATAAAGGAAAACATTTGCAAATGTAAATATTTCCAAATGAAATGCAATGTCATAAAGGTTATAAACTGCGTTGCAATAAAATAATTCGTTGTTTCCTTACCCCACCTCTCTGCAAATATCGGGAAATCAGATTTATCTGCCCTTGAATGAAGATAAGATTTATAAATATGCATAAGAGGTGGAGCTAATATTGTTATGAGTTGTCTAAAATTAGAATAGTTAGTGTATTTATATTTAGTGCTCTCTCTCTCTCTCTCTCTCTCTCTCTCTCTCTCTCTCTCTCTCTCTCGTCATATGTTTGTCACTTTTATCTTTTAAGTTTTCAAATAAAGTATATAACTAATAACAAATAATACCGGCCGGTAAAAGTAGTCATTCTTATTGATAATCAAAAGCATTGGCTGATGTCAACAATTTGCGTGTTCGAGCTCAGACTAATGCACAGTACAGAATCAATTATATTCAGATCCGGGATCGAGACCCGCAAACAGCAGTAAGACTAATTTTATTTTTCCTTTTTATAAAAAAGAAAGAAAAACATCACACTTACTTTTTTTTTTTTTTTTAAAAATAGTTTCTTTTATAATTACTTTTCCGTATAAATTAGCGAGCTGGGGAATTTCAATTTTATTTACTGGATCTTACTTTAGATGTTCATATTAAACAATGGTTCAAAACATATACATATAAATGAATCTTTTTCTTCATATGAAGACTATGAACATGTAGAGACATATAATGCACTCAAAAATATATATTTACATTTGCAAATGTTTTCCTTTATATAACACTACTGAAAGGAATGCGTATCTACAACTGTATAAATACAGGTACGGGGTCAAGAGGTCATAGATGTGCTTATGGATAAACGTTCGACGTAATTTCTCAGTGACGTCATAAAGGGTCGACGCGCGTTCAGTGGATCACATAGGCCGTTGGGTTTGAAAAATAATGCATTTCACATGTTAAAAGTCACAATCAGGCAAATTTAAAGTATGAATTAGTCACAAATGGAAATATAAGTAATAAGGTATCATTTTAAAACATCTATCGGGCTATAAATACGGGTCGGTACGAGATTAAATTCAACATAAAGCCCTTCGGGCTTTATGGAATTTAATCTCGTGACCGACCCGTATTTATATCCCGATAGATGTTTAAAAATGATACCTTATTTCTTAAATATTTACATCCACTGAATATTTTCTTCTTTATTTCTTAAGAAAACCCATTGCGTTCATCACTGCATAAACTACATTAGGCACATCACCTGTACAGATTTCTTTATCAGTGGCCGTTCCATCAATGAAACGTACAAAGACGTTCGCATTATTAACACAATAATTAATATTTTTGATCCTAATTAAAATGGTAATTTAAACAGATATAAATATAAACAATAAAATGTCTTTCTTTGTTTGTTATTACTGGAATGAACGGTCGCAGCTATTGCAGAAAAATTCACATAACCCGCTTACGCGGGTTATGTATTTTTTCTGCAACAGCTGCTTCCGTTCATTCCAGTAACAACAAACAAAGAAAGCATTTTATTGTTTAAATAAAGATAGTAAAATGAAATGATTTTGAGATAAATATAAGAATAATCTTATAGATATCCAAGAGAAAAAAGAATAGCCCGTGCTCGATGGGAATGAATTGAAACAGATATCTGATATGGACAATCACTATCGCCCAACAGAATGCGTGTTTCCTTACACGTCACGTGATGGAATTTAAGTATTCGCAGAGTTACCTGGGTATAGAAATCGCGTGGTTAATTAATATTATTCAACAGGTAACAACGTGGTCAAAATGGCCTGTTTACTATAGAGAAAGTGAACACACGAGAAACAGTTTATTCTCTTTTTAACCATGAGCGCATGTTTGTCTATTGATCTCCTTTTGATATGAGGTAATTTATATAAATATACAACTACCATAAAAAGGAGAACAATAGACAAACATGCGCTGACTATGCATTAAGCCTGTAAAAAGCTGGACATACTCATTATCCTATGGAGATTCCAGAATATGCGATGACCCCTCCCTACAAAAACGACTTCGAACTTTGTTAATACGAACTTTTAATTAACGTAATTACACAAAGTTGCAGTTAAGAAATTTACCATTTCTACCATTAAAAATAAAATGCCCATCTTTAAAATTGATTATGTCGCAATTTTTGAGTTTCTTTAAGTGCAGTCATCCTTTATTAAAAAGCAATTAGCATTATTTCTTTAGGTATTTATTTGTTAATCGATTGTCGTAAGAAGACGTGAATTTGATTTCATTAAAGACGTCACACAATTTATGTGCTATTTACATCACCTTTTCTCATCCTATATTTGCTGTATTCATGTAGATCTTAAGACGTCACACCTAATTGATGTGCTAATTATCACACTACAGCTCATCTTGTAAAACTCTAATGCTCAATTTTATCTTGCCATTTAATTTCATATAATCAAATATATCAAATAGTTATCAAGTTCAAAAATATATGTCTTGGATAGAATTTAAAACAAGGATGTAAGAGAATGCACGTGGTTAATAATTCTGGAAATATTTGTCAGAGACTCTTTGTATCTCGTGGCATGCCTGGGGCCATACAGGGAGGTCAAAAGTTATATGACCGCCATGGAAGTTAACTAAACCAAGTGTAGATCTATATATATCTTTAACAGAATTTTTTAAGAAATCAGAGACAAATTCCCTGATCTACAAACAAAAGTTAGCTGAAGAAAAAATGGTATAAAAATCATACAGTCGAGATCTACACAGATGGTTCAAAAGACAACAATAAAGTTGCGTCAGCTACTGTAATGAATTAAAAATAATGTATTAAACATATGAATATCTACTGAGTTTCAACAAGGACTGGAGAAGACATCTTATATATAAGGAGTCCTATAGTGATACATACAGCTGTAAGTACTGCAGACTATTACGAGTGTGGAGGTCGTTCAGAAAAAAATGGTCATGCATCTCTATCAATGGCGAAATGATATCTAGTCATTCCTTGATATCTCAAAAGTGCATATATAATTGGCTGCTACATGTACCTATGTACACCTGTAAACAACCTGCATGGCTGTTTTAGAATTCGTGAATTCATTCACATAAGATTTTCTTTTGAAAAGTTCATAAAATTCAGCAAATGGGGCATGGCGCGTCAAAGTCGTATCACCTCCATGAAACATATTAAATTATAATCATGATACAGTAATGTCAAGTCAGATTGATGCAAAGGATCAAATCGACCGCAAACAGAATTTAATTTTGCATTTCAAAAAGCAATTTCACAATTTTAAAAACATCCATGCAAACAAAGCACAAGATATTCAAAGCTGAAATAGTGATCATTTTTATTTCAGACTGTCTTCAGAGCAAACTAAATAAATAATTTCTTTAAAAATTAAAAGTTTGGTGCATTTACTCATCAGATTCATCGATGTTATGAAGTCAATGATAAGAATTTGTTGAACATGTTGAAATCAAAATGAATTTTTGGGCCTCGCCGCCTCTCAAGATGAACCACGTGTTGATACCCCGGATCATTGTCGCGTGATAATATCCATGGTTTCTACACACTTGGTGCTGCAAGGTGCGTTGCAAAATGTAAAATAAAATTATATATCCTTGTCATTCGCAGCTGTTACATAAGCATATTCAAAACAATTTTTACTACTTGGACAACTTTTCAAATTTTATTCACTAACGCATTAAATATCACGTCATTATTATCCGGAAAATCATGACAATTCCCTTTCGTATCTTAAACACTCCCAGGCTGAGGATTCCTTATTGTAAACTCTTTTTATTTAAGGAATGAATTAAATAGCAACCCAAATTATACTAAATATATACATGTAACCTGGGTTGGGGCAGTTTTTTTTATCCAATCAAATGACGCGTTACAACCAAAATTAAATTATTTAACTATAAATCATCAATTATCTGATAAGAAATGATTAAGAAATTGAAACATGATAACAACAATCAATATTTAGTACTATAAAGCAAGTTTTTAAAATATTTTACTCATGATTTTATATATGAAAAATCAATCAAGAATTATTTTAAGTTCAAAAAAAAGTTTCATTTCCCCATGTGCACTTTCTAGCACAACCAGTCCACAAATAGATCGCTGCTGCGGTCGATATCATATAAAGTTCACTTAGTATACTATCAAATTCCTCTATCAGTACTTTTAGTACTTTGATGGCATGTCCTTCGGAACTCGCAACGCAGTTTCTTCGTAGGAAGGCAATCAAGGAAAACCGAATGTTAAATACACAGAGAAAATTCGATTTTTATGAGTGTAAACAAAATAGACCAAGCTGATGGTTCTAAAGTAAGTCTTTAAATCAGGTAAGATTTTCTTGGAAATGAATTTGCTATCAAGAAATCTTCATATTCCACTGGGCCTGATATTTTATCAGAAATGTCCTTGCTCAAAATATTTACCACAAGCCTCTGAATG